GTAGCATAGTGCCTAAGGCACTTGACTGCTAACCAGAAGGCTGGCGGTTCAAACCCACCAGCCACTCCTTGGAAGGAAGGTTGGGCAATCCTACTTCGGTAGTGATACTGCCTCGGAAACCCAAGGAGGGGTCGCTATGAGTCGGGGCCAACTCGACAGCAAATAACAACAACAACAACAAGACAAAGAAGAGAGAAGTTGGGGTGGGAGGCTAAAGGTGGGGCTAGGAAGGTGGAAGAAGAGAAAGGAACAAGAGGAGCAAAGCCTACAGCTTTGAAACTTTGTGTCCAGTTTCTCTCAGAGGAGAAGCTGCACTATCGTAGTGCTCGAACCAAGGAGCTGGATGCATTGCTGGGGGATCTGCACTGCGAGATCCGGGGTGAGGAGAAGCAAGGGGCTGGGGTGGGCAGCCTGGAGAGTATTCTTACAGGTTCTTTCTCTTCCTTCTGTCTTCATCTTTCTGCCCCTGCATCTTCTCTGAGTGTCTCCTAGGCTTTCAGACTGTACCTGCAAGCCTGTTTCCAGGTCACTCTGAGGGTCTTTGTCTCTGCTTCACTTTCTCCTGGCCTGATCCCCAACTCCCTCACTCACCTGCTCCCAGACCAGGAGACCCTCTTGATGCACCAGCTGCAGTGCCAAATACTGGCACGGGCAGCTGTCTTGACCCGGGTCTTGGACCTTGCCTCCCGCCTGGACGTCCTCCTGGCTCTTGCCAGTGCTGCCCGGGACTACGGCTACTCAAGGCCCCGGTACTCCTCTAGACTCCTTGGAGTACAAATCCAGAATGGCAGGTGAGAACAAAGTGGGTGGAGACATAGACACAACTAGCCTTTGGGCCCCATTTCCTGAGGGGTTCATCTGCCTGTGCCCATGGGTCTAGTGCAGGGTGCCTCTTCACCCACTGCAGACATCCTCTGATGGAACTCTGTGCCAGAACCTTCGTGCCCAACTCTGTAGAATGTGCTGGGGACAAAGAAAGGATCAGAGTCATCACTGGGCCCAACTCCTCAGGGAAGAGCATATACCTCAAACAGGTGAGAATCCCTGCAACCTGGGCCTCTAGGATCTTCTCTACCTCCTTCACTCCCCACCTCGTAGCTAACCAGGTTCCTTTAGCTCTTCTCCCCTCTGTCCTGACCCCATCTGTCATGAAAAGACCATAGCCCACACATGCTGCTGCTCTACCTCACATGTTTCATTCTCAGATCTGATAGATATTTCCATGGCCTGAGTTCCCTTAACCCATTTCTGAATAGGTACAATCCTTTCCCAAGTACATCTCTGCCCATTCCAAGGTGAGCCTAAGGAGCAGTGATCAGGATTACGAGAGGAACAGTGTGTTTTATTACCTTTTATCTTCTGTTGAATTCTGTCCACCTTTCCTTGGTCTATCATTCACACTCTCAGGTTAGCCTCACCTCACCTCAGCCCTCACATAAGGCCCCAGGCCCTATCTCCTCCCTTGTTCAGGTAGGCTTGATCACATTCATGGCTCTGGTGGGCAGCTTCGTGCCAGCAGAGGAGGCCGAAATCGGGGCAGTCGATGCCATCTTCACCCGAATCCATAGCTGTGAATCTATCTCCCTTGGCCTCTCCACCTTCATGATCGACCTCAACCAGGTCAGAGGGTGCAAAGGGAGGTGGAATTGTGGGAAGGGGGTAGTGGGGAAGGAACTCCACCCTGAAAAATGCTCAGAGCAAGAAAATCATTCTCTTAGCCTACATGCCCTCTACACTAGGGGCAGGGAACATACAGTTCACAGACTGGCAGAATCAATACCATAAACATTTACTGAACTTCTGCTTTGTGCAAGGCACTATTGCCAATAAAGTGATGAACAAAACATACACCTTGCCATGAAAGAACCTATACTCCAGTAAAGTGGACACATATACAAACAGCTTTATTCACAGGCACATTGTGGTGTGTTACAAGCCTCTCTCAGATGCTAACCAAATGCTCCTCTGTCCTACTCATGTCCAGCAGGTGGCAAAAGCAGTGAACAATGCCACTGAGAAGTCTTTGGTCCTTATTGATGAATTTGGAAAGGGAACCAACACGGTGAGGGGAAAAAGTAATGAGAAACTAAGGAAGGGCAAATGGAGGAGGATGAAGGAGTATGAGGATGAAGCTGGGCCTTGGGGGAAGAATAGGGATGGTAGGCAGAAGAGAAACAGTGGGAGATGGAGAAAGGCAGGGCAGGTGGAGGGGGCATATGGGCTGCCCACACCACACCCAAACTCCTGCCCTCCACACAGGTGGACGGGCTCGCGCTTCTGGCGGCAGTGCTCCGTCACTGGCTGGCACGTGGACCCCAGTGCCCACAGATCTTTGTGGCCACCAACTTTCTGAGCCTTGTTCAGTTACAGCTGCTGCCACAAGGACCCCTCATTAAGTATTTGGTGAGGAAATCAATCTAGCCCGTAGGGGCCCCTAAGCTGGGTATTTCCCAAGGTGGGGATCAGCTCCTTCAACAGAACAGTGGCTCCCTGAGCACAAGCACCATGTCCCTTTTCCTTTTACCTTCAGGGATTGGCCAAGGGTTTCAGGGCAAGAAGCAGGATGATCAATAACATACTATTTATTCTCTTTTGAGACCATGGAGACTTGTGAGGATGGAGACGACCTTGTCTTCTTCTACAAAATTTGCGAAGGTGTTGCCAATGCCAGCCATGCTTCCCACACAGCTGCCCAGGCTGGGCTTCCTGACAGACTCATTGCTCGTGGCAAGGAGGTGATGGTATCCAAATGTCCAATCACCTCTCTCCCAGGGATCCCTTCTCATTGTCCCTGCTCTTCTCAGGGACCTAGGTTTCTGGGCCCACAAGGTTTCTGATCCTTAATTCTTCTCTTACCTGAGACCCCATCCTGTCTCTCCCTTCCTGTTGGTCCTAGGTCTCAGACTTAATCCGCAGTGGAAAACCTATCAAGCCTGTCAAGGAGTTGCTAAAACAGACTCAAATGGAAAAGTGAGTATGTGGCCCAGTGTCCTTGTTCTCTGTAGCATCTTCTCCTGCACCCTTTTCCCTTTCTCAGGGACCCAGCCAGCCTTCCTCCAGCACTTTACCCTTCAGGGAGCCATTCTTCTTACTGAAATCCCTTTATCTTCAAGGCCTCAGGTTTTCTGTGCCTCTTCCCGCTCCCCTCTACTAAAAGACCCACTTACCTCTCCCCCCATAAATCTTGCCATCTCTCTCCCTTTCAGTTGCCAGACCTTAGTGGATAAATTTTTGAAACTGGATTTGGAAGACCCTGACCTGGACTTGGACATTTTCATGAGTCAGGAAGTGCTGCCTGTGGCCACCTCCATCCTCTGAGAGCCCTTCCTCTGCCCTCGCCAAGTTCCCAAGACCCCAGTGGTATATCACATGCCCTCTTTGTTTCCTTATCTTTTTCGGATCCAGAGTTCTAAGTTTCCCTGGACATTTTATTTCATATTAGGAATAAAATTTGTTTTGGATACAGTTACTGTTTCCTTAGGCCGGTCAAAACAAAACAAGAGAATGGGAAGGAGCTGAAACACCGAGCAGGAGTCCACAGAGGGACCTGTCCTGCCTCATTAAAAATACATTGACACTGCTGTAGGGAGACAGACCCTTGGATTCTATCCAGGGGAGTTCATGAGAACAACGCACTTCAGGGGTCCTGAAAACAGATTTGAGGGAAGACAAAGGAGCTGAGGGAGATGGTGTTTCTCCCCCATAAGTAGGAACATCTCAACTTCAGACAGACACAGCAGGGAAGGCCCTGAGAGGCTGAAAGAAAAGGCAGGATGGATACAGACGGGGGGGAGGGGCAGGGACCAGCCCAGCTGCACCAGAGGGAGTGGCTTTACCCTTCCCACCTCAGAGCCATGGGGAGCAGAGCTTCTGGTGGGCTGCCTCTGGTGCAGGCTCCCTACACGGTCCTGCTGCTGCCGCTGGAGACAAGCCGCCAAGACCCAGGGGCCCAGAGCTTCTTCCTCTGGGTGAGTACTAGCTAGGGGAAAGCCCCCTCCCTCGATCTGCCCCCCACCATATTTCCACTCAACTTTAGAGACTCATAAGCCTTCCCCCTTCCCCTGCCCTCTAGATCCTCAGTGGTCAATCTGGGCTCACACCAAGTGACCAGACAATGAACCCAGCCAGGGGCTGAGAGGAAGGGCAGTGATCCAGAGTCAACTTCTGCTTCCTGCCTTTTCCAGCTTCAGAGGATGCAGGCCCTGGAGAGAGAACAGGATGCCCTGTGGCAGGGGCTGGAGCTACTGGAACACTGCCAGGCCTGGTTTGGGGGCCATCTGAGGGAGGCACAGAGGCAGCAGCTGCATCTGGGGGCCATTGGTGAGGTACAGGCTGCCCCTCTGTAGTGGGGGCAAGGCGGGGAATGTATGGACACAGCCTGAGACCATCCTGGAAAGGGAAGAGTTAATGGGTGGGAATCATAAATGAGAGGCAGCATTGTAATGACAGAATGCCACCGAGTGGTAGGTAGTGTCCATTGTTGGAGATAGAGGAGGCTGGTCTGCACTCCATTCAGAGGGATATGATTTGGATCATTCCATTGAGATGGGGGAGTGGCCTGGATTATTCCTATGGCACAGAGGCAGACAGGGCAGATCCATAAAGAATAGAGAAAGGGGGTATTGTGCTATATGAAGGGATGGAGGTACTAGAATGTTGAAAGATGGAGGTGCAGACTATTGGATTTTCCCACCCACTGGGATGAGGTGGCCCATGTGGAAAGGAATGTCCTGTGGGAATATGAGATGAATGGCAGGTGGACCTCAGGTTTTCCCCATCTTGTCATCCTCCAACTCCGCCTTCTTAGAATTTTCTAACAGATTTACACTCAGAGCCTTGTGGCCCCGAGTTATCCCAGATTCAAAAGGTGAACATCTGCTTGCAGAATCTGATTGAGGGGAAGGTGAGTTTATTGGTTTTAGTCTAGACTTTTGGGAAATAGGGATTTGGGGGGCTGTTGGGGTCAATACAAGTTTAACAGAAAACACAGCTAATTTCCCCCCAGTTCTCCCCACATCCATTGAACAAGGCTAGTTCCTGCAACACCCTGGAAGGGCCAAGAAAGCAGAACTTTTGGCAGCAACAGGTAAACTGTAGGGATGTGGGGAGAGAAGCCCTCACCCCATGGAGCAGGGAGGAGCTCTGATGTCCAGGCTGTTTTTCTCCTCTTCTCCAGGAGTTCTCAAGGCAGCAGAGAGGAGTCATCCAGCCAGAGGAGAAGATGGCTGAGCCCAAGGGGCAGAGGGGCCCTACCCTTGTCTAAGGCCTCCTCCCATTCCTCTCAGTCTGGTGAGGGAATAGGCCAAGTCAGAACCCTCAGCCTCTTATTCTTCTTAGCTTAAACCCCTAAATGGGTTAGGTGGTAGGTCAGCTGAAGTTCAGACATCTTGATGTGGTTTCTCCTCTGCTCCTGAAAGCTTACTTCCATTTCATCTTTTTGATGTCTCATGCCCTCACTCTCTCCTAGACGATGTGCAAAAAATGATCTTTCTTTGAAATCTCTCTAGGGAGAAGACATGTTTATTGAAAATGTCCTTCAGCTTTAAATACAAAAATAAAATAGCAGCTGCTCTGTAGTTTCAAATTTAAAAAATTCTATAAAAGCACTTCCTGGTACCCTCTTACCCGACTCCCCACCTTAGTCTCCTCCCCAATACTTTCTGTTCTACCTGAGCCTGGACGAGCATGAATAGGTAGTAGAATAAAGATGCTATGGAGAACTAGAAAGCAATATTCTCCGAAAGTAAGTTTGGTTTGGTTTCCACAGGGTTAGGGGGGAAAGTGTATTGTGGGAAAATCCATCGCCCTCTACCCCAGACTTACAGTTCTTAAGAAAGAGAAGGGACAGAGTATATGAGAAGGAAAACCTCCATCCCAGCTTAGAGGGTGGGGGCCCCAGGCCCATATTCCCTTCTCACCAATGGGGCAGACTGAAAAGAGCACTGGAAAACCATCCCCCTAGAAGTTGTGTTACCAGGAGGCCAGGCCAAACAGAAGCAGCACCCCTCCAACTGTGCCCCACCAAGGGCTGTCAGTCATCCTTCCCCCAGCCCTGCTGGGAGTCACCAAAGTGGAGGGGCTAAAAGTAGGGCTGGAGGCAGTGGTGCTGACAGGGCTGGATGAGCGGGTAGAGGCAGCGAACTGGTCCTAGAGGGCAAAAGGAGACACCGTCAAGGCCGGGCTAGGACTGCACCGAACTTCAGCCCACATTGCCGTCTCCTTAGGGGCCCTGGTAGTACAATGGTTAAAGTGCTCGGCTTCTAACCAACAGGTAGGTGGTTAGAATCTCTACCACCCACTCTGCAGGAGAATGCGATGTGGGAGTCTGCCTCCATAAAGATTTACAACCTTGGAGACACTATGGAGCATTTTTGCTCTATCCTATAGGGTCGTTATATATTCAGGAGCTCTGGTAGCATAATGCCTAAGGCACTTGACTGCTAACCAGAAGGCTGGCGGTTCAAATCCACCAGCCACTCCTCGGAAGAAAGGTTGGGTAATCCTACTTCGTAGTGATACTGCCTCGGAAACCCAAGGAGGGGTCACTATGAGTCGGGGCCGACTCGACGGCAAATAACAACAACATAGGGTCGTTATGAGTCGGAATCCACGCGGCTGCGGGGGGTGACATCTTACCTGTGGGGCTGGGGCCAGCACCAGGAGCCGGAGGAAGGCATGGGTCGGGGGCATTGAGCTGGCTTCTCGACCTGCTGCACTTACTGTCACCATCACCACTGAGTCCGGGGCAGCTGAATCTGGGACCTCTAGCCACAGGCGACCCCAGGCAGACTCATTCTGTCCCAGATGAACCCTGGAGAGTGAACGCAGACAACCTGCTGAAGCGCCAGATTCCACTGTACTGAGGGATAAGGGGCGGAGCCAAACAGCGGAGAGAGGGCGAGGAATCTGAGGACCAATCGAGAGGGGCCAGAGTCCCACGCCCAGGAACCAATAGGTGGGGCTAGAAGGGAGCCGAAGAGTTCAAGGGATTCACCTGGAGAGATTAGAGGTGAGGGGGAAGTTGGGGTTCACTGATGTCCTTAGGTAGAGATCCTGAGGGCCTGAGAAGCTGGCGATATGGAGGCTGAGTGGGGCCTTGCTGCCCGGCGTCAGGAAATGAGGGGGGCCACTGAGCTGCGGAGGTGAACCGGAGTCAGAGGACAATGTAGCCCAGCTCGCTCGAGCCCCAGCAGCACCCTCCCCTGGTGTCTCACCTCCAGAAGCACAGGGGCCACAGTGCAGGGTTGGAGGGCTGCCCTGTGCAGGCCCTGCCCCGCTCTGTCCTGGCCAATCAGTTCCAGAGAGAAGGGTCCAGGCGTGGACAGCAGCGTGGGCGGCAGCGACGCTGCGAGGAAACCTCGCTCCCGGGGCCCCGTGGGCTCCAAGGGCACCCGGCCCAGCTCGTCGCCCGCCGGGACCCCTCGAAGGATGACGTGGGAGAAATGCGGCCCATGATTACCAGAGTTGCCAGTACCTGTCACCTCTACCAGCAGCTGGGTCTGGAGACCTAGGACAGGGGAAGAGGAGAAGAGTGATTTGCGTGAGATTCAGCAACACAGGGAAAAAGATGAACAGCCCTCGGAATAAGAGTTACCTCTGGGGAGTATGAATGGAGAAAAGGGGTTACCTCTGGGGAGTACTGATGGAGAGGGTCAGGAGGGAGTTCTGGGGTGCTGGAAACATTTTGTATCTTGAAATGGGTGATGGTTACATGGATTGATATATATGAAATCCAGCAAGCTCTACATTGAAGATAAGTATACTTTAAACTCCCTTCTATCTCTCTGTTGCCATCAATTCAGACTCATAATGACCTTATAGGACAGAGTAGAACTGCCCCCTAGGGTTTCCAAGACTGCCACCACATCCTTCTCCCATGGATGGTGGCTGGTGTCTTTTGGTTAACAGCTGATTTCTTAACTACTGCGCCATTGGGCTCCCTAGTGCACTTTACTGTATGTAAACTATATTGCAAGAGTTTTAAAAAATATATATTTTTAAAAGATTAATGAACAAGATAGGGGAGGGCGGGGAACAGGTGTACCTGCAACTGGCTGAGTCAAGGGGTAGAGGCCAGGGTGGGGCACATCCTCCACTGAGATCCCAAAGTAGAAGAGGAAGTCCAGGGAGGTGTGAGCTGGGGAAGGACAAAGGCAGTGGAGAACTTCCTGAGATGAATGTAACTGCTACAGCTCTCTGAGATCTGCAGCTCCCCTTCCCCTTCACAGGAGTCTCTCTCCTTACCTTGTACTCTCACCCGGGGGGTGCCCTCAGCTGTAACCTGGATCTCCCAGGTCCCTGTCTGTGGGGGGTCATTCATAGTCACTATCCAGAACTGCCCAAAGCGTCGAGTGTGACCTAAGGGTCCCTCACCTTCCTCCTGGTCCTGGGAGACCCCTGAGGGTAGGGGACAAGAGATTGCCACATGAGATAATTCCTTTTCTTTCTTCCCTTCAAGTCCCAGATCTGAAGTCCCCTCTCCCATTTCCCTAGTACATCTCCCCTCATTCTCCTGTGTCTGTTCTTCCCTCTCCCTTGAGACAAAAACATGGAGGTACCTGCAGGATTCCTGATCCAGAAACTGCTGATCTCCCCATGGATCCGGACTGTAATCCTCTGTAGCAGCTCATCCACACTGAATATAAGCAGCCTCCCAGGCACCACAACAGGGGGCTCCAGGGGAAGGGTCACCTTGGGGGATGGGCAGGAACAAAACACAGGGGAGAAGATAAAATATGGAATGCAGTAGGAACAGATGAGAAATACAGACAGAGACAGAAAGAAACTAAGTCACACATGAAGAAGGGTACCAGTGAGAGAGGGGCACAGGATCAGGGGTGAGATTATTATAGTCAAGGCAGGCTTGTGGGCAAGGGATTAAGGATGGGTGTTCACTTCCTGTCTCCCCTTTAAAGATGGCATTCTGAAGGACAGAATACTGGTGATTAAGGTGGGGAGTGGTACTAATATGGAAGAAGCAATATGGAAGTGGGTAGCCATGAATTTCAGAGGAGCAGATGTTTCCTTTCCCACTTTTCTGACTGGAATGGCAATACAGCAGTGGGATCTATTCCCCTTTTGACTGTGAGAAAGAGAGAGATGACAGTTTCACTCATCTCCTCAGTTCTGGCCCCCACACTTACTCACCAGGTCAGCCATGCTCTCCCCAACTATGGCTGCCACATCCTGAATGTGCTGGTCTTTGGTGAAGATCACCTCTCCTCCTGAGGCTAGGGCTATCGACTCATATGGTTGAAAACGCAGAGGGGACAAGACCTCACGCCGGGCCCGAATGTTAACCCTCGATGGATCTTCAGTCACTAGGAACGTCACCTATGGCAGAGAGAGCCTAGTACTTGTGGTGTCCAAGTACCATCTACCATCATGAATGAGGGATCTCCTGTGCTCAAGCTTTCTACGGAGATGATTGGTGATAAGGTCTCTGTCTACCCTCTGGCTGCTAATGTGGGGTCTCCAATGACACAACTCCCCGAGTAACTGAAGTTAGTAGTTGGCCACCCCCTTGTAACCGTCACCATAATTATTCACAGTAGACATTTGGCAACTATATCTCCAGTCCTTCGAATAGTTTACTGGAACAGGTTTAAATATGAATCCAACATTAAGGGTAGGGCCTCACTTTCTTGAATATTAAAGGTATTGGGAACCATGATACTCACTGCCTGCTTCTCCCCATCCCACCAAGGCTGCTCTACCACCAAAGTATGGTGTGATAGGTTATGAAGTTGTCGTCACAGGGTCTCCCACATCACTGAGCAGCTAACATAGTGTCTCCCACCAGCTATGCTCACTCTGCAGCGTCGCTCCTGAGTCAAAGATTCCACCCGATTGGTGAGAAGCGCATCCTTAGGGGAGGCATCAGTGAAGACAAAGATGTCTGAGAGTGGAGGTGTGTGCAGCAGGGCCAGCTGGCAGGGAGGAAAGGGGCTGGTGTTAAAAATGACAGTGGCAGGGAGATGGGGAGACCAAGGAAGGACAAAGTAGAAAGACATAGGCCCTGGAATGCTGAAGTGAAGGTGGGGAAGGAAGTTGGGAAGACTAGGGGAGGGGTGTCCCAGGAAGGCTCTAGTTTCTCTTGGTGGCAAGGCCTAGGAAGAAGGGGATGAGAAGAGAAGGAGAAGGGATGGGCCAGACCTCCACAGCTGACAGGCACATCTCAGGCTCGTCTCCACCTCCCAAGGCATGGATCTCATTGAGTTCTTGCCAGAAACTGTCTGGGTCACTGGTTGTAAAGACAGGGCCAAATCCTGGAGACAGGGAAAGGTTGAGGTGAGTGAGGAGAGGGCTCCCCTCATTCCCACCCAGGGATACCTTCCCAGTTGAGAGGTCTGCTATGCTCCTGGGGTGGACAAATGTTGAAATAACAATATTATATTTATAGGGCTCCTTATACTTGTTAGTAGGAGCTCTGGTAGCATAGTGGCTAAAGCACTTGATTGCTAACCAGAAGGCTGGCGGTTCAAACCCACCAGCCACTCCTCGGAAGGAAGGTTGGGCAATCCTACTTCCGTAGTGATACTGCCTCGGAAACCCAAGGAGGGGTTGCTATGAGTCGGGTCCGACTCGATGGCACATAACAACAACAACAACAATACTTGTTAGTACAGGACAGGCCAAGGGTTAGGTGACTCTGCTGGGAAATTGGGCCTCATGGCTCCACTCCATTAACAAAACGTGGCACCTTTTATGTTCCTGAGTTGCCCTTTATTGGGTATGTGTATGTATAAAAAAGCAACTGGGGCCTCAGTTTCCTCATCAGAAAAGTTAGAGACAATCATAGTATTTCAGAGGGTTATTGAGAAGATTATATTAATTGATTTTATAAATCTTAGAATAGTGCCTTGACACATAATAAATGCTAAATTCCTAACCATTCATTCACATCTTCAGCGAACATGGTATAAGTCCCTATTAAGTGCCAGCCACTATGAGACTTATATAGATAAATCATACTCAAACCCTGCTCTTTGGGAAATCCCAGTAGGCATTTTATTTGATCACTATTTCAACCCTGGCAAGACAGGCAGGATAAGATGGGTATAAAAACCAAACCAACCAAAACCTTTTCTGTCAAATCGATTGCGATTCACAGCAACCCTGTAGGATGGAGTAGAACCGCCCTCATAGGGTTTCCAAAGCATTAAGTCTCTACAGAAGCAGACTGCCACATCTTTCTCCTGTGGAGCACTTGGTGAGTTCAAACACCAACCTTTTGGTTAGCAGTCAAGTGCTTAACCACTGTGTTACCAGGGCTCCTTGTAATGCAAGTATACTGACCCATTTCATAGATGACAAAATTGAAACAAAGTGAGGTTAAAGGACCAGCCTAAGGACATACAGCAAGACTGGTCAACCCATACCAGATTTTTTATTTCCATTTCAGTGGGGGAAAAACTATGATATAACTATTTGTCTCAGACACTTTGCAGAAGCATGGGCCCACCAATCCCCCATCTCTGCCTACAGGAAATAGAATTGAAAATTACTTATTAGTATGGATGCTTAAGAAAGTAGAGGCCATCTGCCTAAGCATGAATCATGCATTAAATTCATATGGAACACTGAACTGTACACATGAAGATTGTAGAAATATGGCAAGTGTTTTATTACCTGTAAGTTTCCCATAATAAATAAAATTAAAACAACAACATCAAAACAGTATTGGTGTGTGTGGGGGAAACACCTCATGGAAAATGCTGCCATTTTGAAAACAGTGGAAGAAAGGCCTGATTGTTTCCCATATACACACATGTACCTAGTAAAGACCCATTCAGGACCACAGGATGTTCCACCATTTTGCTAAAGAACTAGAACTATGAAGCCCACTTTTCCACCTCCTGCCCTAGACTTTCCTTCCCTCTGCTGTCCTGCCCAGACATGGTTACCTGGGTCATGGAAAGGCACCAGAACATAGTGCATAGGCTCCATAGGGCTGCCTCGACGCTGCTCCACAATGTGGCGAGCCTGGATTTTGGCAGCATTGATCTCTTCACCCATACTGCCCGTGGTGTCCAGGACAAAGCTCAGGCTGGAGGCTGGGGTGATATCTAGCAGCCTGGGAAACAGGGAAAAGACCCAATGAAGGGTCTGCATGTTTGTCCCCAACCCTAGGTTTCTCAGCTCCCCCAGGAGCACCTACCTACCAGGGAACCCAGCTCTAGGAGGCCACTCACCTGGAAAAATCTCTGTCTCCCAGGCGGCTTCGCAGGAGACTGAAAGCCTGGATGGAGGCCAAAAGGGCCAGTTTTGCAGCCTGGAGGTGCAGCTCATGGTGGGGAGAGAAGCCTGGGGATGTGCTATCCTTGTTGATGCCTCCCCGGGGTGGCTGTGCACTGCTCCGGTCAAAATGGCCCCCATGGCTACATTTCCCTGGGATAGGGAAAGGAATCCTGGAGGGTGGAGGTCAAAAATCCACTGTTTCCTGAGAAAATGATGCCCTTTCTGACCTGACCTGGCCTGATCCTCACTCACCTCTGCAAAGGATCAGCAAGGAATGGTTATTTTTTTTTTTGTGGAGGGCAAATGTGGAGGGGGGTCAGTCACCACAGCATGAAGTGGATCCCTGATCCCTCCAGTTAGCCTCCAAAAGCTGTTCATGGGCAACGGAGAAATCTTACCAGCTAAGCAAGAAGTTGCCCCCAATGTACCAAATGTGAGTGATCATTACTGTGGCATTGAGGAAGAGAAAGACAGAGAGAGGCATGTGGGAGGTACAGACAACAAAGATGAACCGTTTTGTACATATAGTATGGTGTCGTCAATGAAGGCAAACATGGGTATATGGTAGATGGATGGGTGGACAGGCTGAACTAGTAGGTATCTCTATGAAGCAGGGAGTGTACCCAAGAACATGTATAGGGTTGGCAGACAATGGTCCTATAAGTTTATGTGTATGATCTGAATTCCCAGTGTATAGTAGAGCTGACAAGGGGCAAGGTTGTAGTCACTGTTTGGTCACAGCCAGCTACCAAGAGGGACCTAGTAGTTGAACCTGTGGGCTCAGGACCATAGTCACAAGGGATATCAAGCTCAATTGGCATAACATAGTACACAAAACATTGTTCCACTTCCTACTTTGGTGAGTAGCGACTGGGGTCTTAAAAGCTTGCAAGCTGCCATCTAGATGCAACGATGGGTCTCTCCTCGTCCAGAGCAAAGAAGAAAGAAGAAAACCAAAAATTCATGGAAACAATTAGTCCTAGTGACTGGTACACCATCCAATCTGCAGCCTATACGACTATGAGACCAGAAGAACTAGATGGTGTCATCCACTTGGAAGGGGATCTATGAAGGAGATCCTGGATAGAGAGGGAGAACAATGTGGAACAAAACTCAAAATCATTTGGAGGAAAAAAAGGGGAGGGGACCAGGTTTGTTGGTCCAATAGAGCCTGGTGGAACCACTGGAGACTATGACCCTAGCTGCCCTTCAGGTCTAGAATTGAACCCACACCTGTGGCTTCCAGCCAATAATAGGTATATGAGTTGAACATTTCCCTGAGGTAGATACATTCCTTGGAGAGAACAATCATGGGAGAAAGAAGGGCTGCTTATGCACAGGGAGACAGCTCAGGGGGCAGGAGTGCATGGAGGGATGGACACAGGGAAGAGGTAACTATAGGGAGGATGTGCGAGGGGAGCTGTTGCATTGTGGTAAATTGTGGTCAATGTCATGAGACAAAGTGTATGTGAACTGCTGTACGGAAAGTGAATTTGCTCTGTAAATTTTCATCCAAATCACAATAAAAAATAATAACAATTAAAAAAAAAAAGTTGCCCCCACCCCAGTGGTCATGGGTACCTCAGTGGGCCTTTATCCACCCATCCCATTCCCAATATCCTGTCCTTCTTCTAGGAAGTGATGCCACAGGAAATGGGATGAGGGTTTATATAGCACTGAGATGTCAAGGGAAAGGATCAGCTTCTGAGAGGCTTTTGTGTCTGGTACCTGGAGGTTTGGGTGGATGTGTTCCAAAGTAGCCAGAGGTGAGGAGCCGGAAGTCCAGCAAATTCCCAAGGCAGCTTAGCTGCTCACAATTGGAGCAGGTAGGGTCACTTGCTGTGAAGAGAGGACAAGAGGTAAGAACCCAAAATTCCCCTACCCCAACTTATATCCCCTTCCCCCTGGCCTTTTTTGGCTTTTCCTCCCAACTGGAACAAAGTGAAAAGCCTGTGGGCAACAGGGCTAGGCTTTTAGAACTAAAACTCAAAGTTCATGAGCTGGCAGTGAGACTGTGTGGTTGAGGCTGTGACTATGCTAGAAACCCAGGAAGTGTGGGATCCCATCCTATGGGGATTATACTTTCTGTGAGGTGTGGACAGGAAGTGAACTTGTTAAGGCACAGGAGGCAGCTTGTGGTTCCTAGTCTAGCTGGGAGGATGAGGGCTGTGAGAAGGCACTGTGTGACCCAGTACCGAGAGGAAGCCACACGAAAGCCAAGCACTCAATTAAGGTCTGGAGATCTGGTCTTGGCTCTGTCCTTCCCTGTGTGACCTTGGGGAAGTCACATAATTGCCCTGGCCCTTGGTTGGACTAGGGGAGCTCACAGGTCCTTCCAGAGATGAAGTGATGCCACAGCTTATGTCATGTGACACTGTGGCTGGGTAGATAGAGAGGATGTGGCTCCGTGGGCTTCCATTTACCACCTGGGTTATGTCTGTACCTTGTGCCAGGCTTTGGAGCTCCTGCCTTGGCCATAAGAGGTGAGGGTGTGGCTGCTCCTTCCCCAGTTCCACCCAGTTGCTGTGGCTGTAGAAATCCTGTCCCCGAGGGATGGAAGAAGAGGAGTGAGGCACTAGTCTGATTGCTCTTACATCTTCAGCCCTAACATGCCACTCCCTCAAGTTCCTCATCCAGAAGGCCGCCCATCCCCAATGCTTCTGTCAGATACCTCAGCTTCTCTCTGTTGCTCTCTCATCATTGCCCGGAACAATTAATTATTCATTCATTAATTTATTTTTTAGTTTTACTCAAAGCGAGAATTCCTCTAGTGTTTCTTTCCATCTCACTCAGACTTTCCAATGGCCTACAAGGCCCTACACAATGTGCTGCTCCCCTTCGCCTCTCCAACTTCATCACCTTCTCTTCTCACCCTCACTTCTCTTTAGCCACAATGGCCTTATTGCTGTTTCCACAGGAAGTGCTACCATTTGGGGGGGGGGGGATTAGAAAATAGCCTCAGGGCATTTGTAGGAAGTGCCCCAATCCCTTCTAGAATAGGAGATGAAGAAGGTACCATCAGAAAGTTCTCCATCTGAGAGATAGGAACACTGGAAGAGAAGACCCTTCTGACCATTATCTTAACTTGCATCTCTGTTCTCTCTCACCTGCAAGGTATGAAGGGCAGCCCCAAGACGCTGCCGGGACAAGGTGTGATCAAGGGCTCTGGATGCCACCAGGGTCTCCCTTAGAGCTGTCACCAGGCGTGTGCGACCCTGGTCCAGCCTCTCAGCATCAAAGTGCAGGTCAGGGTCATTCTTGGAAGTTGGCAGGAAGTCCTGAGCTGCATTGGCACGAGACACCTCACCTAAGGCTGCTCGGAACCGCCGGGAAGGAAATCCAGACCCAAAGTAGGCAGCAAAGAGGTCATCGGCAAGAAGGGTGCGGCCCTGGGGAGAGTGGTAGTGAACAAAGGCTACAGGGAAGACCCTTGGATTGGATCATTGCTTGTCTTTACCTGAGCAACTGGCATTCAAGGCTGGGTATGAAAGGAATTGAGAGTAATGTGGGGTCTACAGGAGACGGCACTATATCAAACAGTGTTTCACTGCTATTCATAAGGTTTTCAGTGGCCAATATTTTCAGAAGTGGATGACCCTGTCCTTCTTCCCAGTCTTAGTCTAGAAGCCCTGCTGAAACGTGCCCACCATGGGAGACCCTGCTAGCATTTGAAATACCAGTGGTGTAGCTTCCAGACTCATGAAAGCCACCACAGTAGGACAAACTGGCAGATGAGTGGTGGGGGTTGTGAATCTGTCTCGAAGTAAGCCAGAAGTAAGAATGGCCACTAGCCAAACAATAGACAGGCATATGGGGTGAACATTTACATCAGGTAGCTCCTTAGAGCAACTGACCAATCACAGGAGAACAGAAGGGTAGTGTTTGCACAAGGAGAGCAGGGGGTAGGGGTGGTGGGACTGCATGGGAGGAAAGGACACAGGGAAGAAGTAACTATGGGGAGGAAGTGAGAAGAGAGCTGTTACATTGTGGGGAATTGCAGTCAATGTCATGAAACAAAATGTGTATGAACTGCTGTATGGAAATTGAATTTGCTCACTCAACTTTCACCCAAATCACAATAAAAATAAAAGTGAGAATGCCAGACTTGGTCTCACTTACTTTGGTCATGTTGTCAGAAGGGACCATTCCCTGGAGATAGATACCATGCCTGGTAAAGTAGAGGGTCAGCAAAAAAGAGGAAGACCCTCAACAAGATGGATTTACACAGTGGCTGCAACAATGGGCTCAAACATAGCAAGAATTGTGGGGATGGCACAGAAACACTGGCATTGTTTCTGTTCTGTTGTACATAGGGTCACTATGACTTGGGGCCAACTTGATGACATCTAACATGTTACACAGGGGATGGACAATCCTGGGCCTTTCTTAAGAAGGACTCCTTTTGATTTCCAGGACCAGACCTCTTGGGGTACTGTTGCTGAGGATTGGGGGAGCATCCCTTCCCTTGGCAACCAGGTCTGGGAAGAAGTAGAGGTCCCAGGGAATTGGGGTATCTGGTTGGGATGTGATGGGGTCCAGGATGCTCACCAGGAAGTCCTCCAGATGAAGGGGTGGCCGGCCAGGGGGTGGCTGCTCCAGGAAAAGCTGCAGAGTGACATTAAGCGCTGCCTCCTCTGTCAGGTCCTGGTGGGTGATGGAGCGGGGGGCAGCCAGGAGGCTCCAGAAGTTGGGAAAGAAGGCAGATGTGGGGGGCACCAGCAACTGCAGCAGCAGCAGCACTGAGGGATCCAGGTGGAGTGGGGGCACCTCCACAGGGAGCATGGCTGAGACATGGACCTGGGGGACAGAAGGCTCTTAAGGGAGGAGGGAACTGTGATTCTAGGACAGGCCTAGCTCTGTTTGTCTCCATGGGCACCTGCTCGGGGCGCCTCCTCCTCCTCCTTCTGCTTTGCCTCAAGCACCTTATCTGCTCCTACCTGGCTTCCCCACCCTTTCCTGTCACCCAGACAACCTGAAGGCCTTGGCAGGCCAGCAGGACATACACCTGCTAAGAGAGAGGTCCAAGGCTCCTTTCTCAGGCGCTCCCCTCTTCTCACAAGCCCCAGAATCCCCAGCCCTACCACAGGGACACACACACACACACACACACACACTGGAACTTTGTCTTTCCTCCCCAGCCTCTCCCCTACCTGGGTGCTGCGTCTCCTGGGCAGGGCTGGCTGGGGTGTGGCGTCACAGGGCACTTAGGTCAGAGTTATAATTATCCAGGACTCAGTGGAGGGGGAGGGAGGCCCACGCAAGGTTGAGGCAGGACAGGCAGCCAGCCCCTGGCCCCTCTACTCATGCCTGCCCACGGCCAGAACAGCCGCTGGTACCAAGGGCCAGCTTCCCTCGGCTGCAGTGCGGAGGTGAATGAAGAGCAAGGAGGAGGAAGGGATCTGTGAGCAGCGTGACTCAGGCCTGGCACTGTGCCAGGGACGGACCCAGGCAGACACACCCCTGCACCCACCAGGACAGTGTTTTGCTTCCAGCCTGCAGACTTCCCTCTGCTCACACCGCCTTGGGAGCCCAGACCCTCAGCTTTCCCTCCCACCCGCTCCACATACACAGACAAAAAATGGTTTTGTGGCAAAATAGTTTATTGCTGCCATCCCCATGGTGGGCCACTGGGGTCTGAGGGTCAGACTTGGGTGTATCACAGCATCTTCTCGAACAGGGCAATGGCCTCGTCCACCTTCCTGAGCTCTGCTTCTGTCTGTTGGAGCTGGGGAGTGAAACAAGGGGGTGGTGGGTGGGGAAGACCAAGGGAGCAGACCCCAAACAACCAGTATGACAGAGGCAAAGTCAGAAAGATGGGTGAGGACAGTGGGAGGGTAGGTCAGGGAGTATTTGTACTTGGGTAGCCCGTTCCCCTTCTTCTGCCTCCAGAATTCTTACCAGCCTCCCCACTAGCAGAAGCACCAGCGCCCTCTTCTACAGTGACCCCAGCCTCTTGGGTCTGCCTTTTCCCAGAGTGATCAATCTCCAAGGACAGAGAGCCTCAGAGCCCATGGACCCCACAAAGTACCCAGGTCTCAGCGCCCTTACCTGGGCAGTATATATAGTGGTCAGGAACACAAGTCACTTAACCTCCATTTGTAAATGGAGGTAACCCTGCCGACTCTTGGAGGGCTACTGGAGACTCAGGTGAGAGAAACCAAGCTTGGTGGTCAAATTTCTGTTCTCTTAACTCCCATTACAGTTTGCGTCTGTACGATTTACTCCACTGCTTCCCTCAGGAGGGGTCCAGGAAGCAGTCAGTGTCTGTGCAGGGGGTAGGGATACCCAGTGGGCTCTGAAGTAGGTGCTAGACTCGAGGCTCCCTGACTACATGTGGTGTCTAAGACCAACCCAGGTCTGTAGGATTCCATGTTCAGGGCAGCTAGATGGGGTGTGAAGGGCCCGGCGGAGGGGCAGAATACTCACTTGTAGACCTGCCTCCACCTCACTGTGTTGGCCCTAGGCTGTGCCCTCCCAACGTGTGTAAGAGGAGGGATTCCGTGGCCCCCTGTAGACACAGACCCCATGTGCTCACAACGGATCTGTGCTCTCTACCAAATTTCCCAGGGATGGAAAGAGGCCAGTCTCATGGCCCAGACTTGATGATAGAGGGGCTGATGGGGTCGGAAATGTGAAAGCTGTTCCCTACTACACACCTTGGCTTTATCGGCCTCCTGGACATCGGGGGGCACTTTGGCCGGGTAGCCCGGGGCAGCGCGGCGCTCCTGCAGACGTTGAGCTTGCCGCTGCACCTCCCCTCGCTTGGCCTGCAGCTTGCCCAGCTCCCGGGCTGGGTCCACCAGTCCCTGTAGCTGGAGGTGGACGGAGCAGCGGTCAGAGGCAACTGCTACAGCACAGCCCTGTGGTGCGGAAGCCCCCAAGGCCAGGACAGCCACCACTCCCGCACTGGCCAGTGCCTGCACATAGGCAGACACGGCTGAGGCCTGGGCACCTGTGGTCTCATCAGCTACTTCCAGGAAACCTGCCAGGAGAGGAAAGAGGTAAAGCCTGGTGCCACAGAGACAGGAAGCTTGGCAGTTATGCTCTGATACCGGGTTGCCAGAGTGGGTGGAGAGAACCATGGGATGGGGTGGGAGTGGAGGCCTGAAGCTCACAGTCGGGCCGGAACCGGGTGAGGTTGTAGTCAGCACGCAGGGAGCGTACAGCTCTAGTGATGCTCAGTGCTAGCTCAAAGGCGGCTTCTGCCTCGGGGTCCTTCCAGGAGCACTGTGGGGCAGAGGAGGAGGTGAGGGAGGCTGGAAGGGAAGGCTAGAGTCCCCCCTCCAAGCCACAACCCATACCTCTGAGGGTTCTGGGTAGGGGGTAACACAGAGGCTAGGGGGAGCCTGTGGTGTCCGCCGGGGCAGCCTCTGGAACAGCTCCTCAGTCACAAAGGGCATGAAGGGGGAAAGTAAGCGTAGGGCAACATCCAGACAGGTATAGAGGGTCTGGCGGGCACACTCAGCTGCCATCTGGTCCACCCCATTCAGCACAGGCTTCAGGCACTCCTAGGGGACAGAGAGGGAAAGGGATCAGGGCTGGAGAAGGGGTGACGGGTTTCGTAGCCCACCACTGGCAAAGCTGGGCCCAGGGCTCTGCTGTCTTCCCCACTCCTCTACCCTTTCTGGAAGCCCCACTTGCTCCTTCTCACCAGGTAGACATCACAGAGCTCATAGAGCCAGAAGCTGTACTGGGCAGTGGTGACAGCTGGGAAATCATAGGCCTGGAAACCTTGGTTGCTGAGTCTCACAGTTTCAGTCAACCGGCTGCAGATCCAACGGTCCACCAGGCTCTCATGGCCTCCAGGCTTAGGGGGGAAAATGGACATATCAGCCAGAAAGGGGTAGGAACCATGGGACAGGTCTGCACTCCAGGAGCTAGATGGGGTCCAAAGCAACTAAGCACATGCCTTTTACCTAGGGGAGAAGAGGCAGACCGCAGACAACTCTAGGGAGAGCCCCGGTGCCCTGGACCTTCCCTGTAACCAGTCTGTCCCTGTGTCCATCTGTTCTCTCAACTACATGGAGGATCCTCAGGGGCAGGGGCTGGACCTTGACCCGTTGGCTGTGACCCCGACACAACATGGGCCTGATGACAAAGTGACAGGGATGCAGCCTCTGTGGGTGCTGCCTGCCTTTCCCATGTACCAAGCCCTTACCTCAGAGGTGGGCGAGGGCACAAAGCCCTTTCCAAGGCCACGGAGGGCAAACTTGGTGGCATTCCAGAGCTTGTTGCAGAAGTGGCGGTAACCCAATATCCGGTTCACATCCAGGTTGATGTCCCGCCCTGAGTGGGGGTGAAGTGTGAATCCTTACCAAATCTCTCTCCCAGTCTACCAAAACAGGGGCCAAGAGTAGAGAAGGAGAGGGGTGGGCCTTAGGGCAGGAGAAAAGAGAGGGCCAAGGAAGAAGTTGTGGGAGCCATACCCTGGGATGTGTATGCACAAAGTCCAAAGCGGAGTGCATCAGTGCCACACTCGGGAATCCCTGCTGGGAAGTCTGCCTTCTACAGGGAGGAGACACAGGGGAAGGGGTATATTCAGCCAGCCCCACCTCCCTATCTTCCCTCTTACTTTTTAATTGTGTAAAAATGTACATATAATAAAACATTTGCCATTTCAACTATTTTTTACATTTTGTATGTATAATTCAGTGGCATTATGTCCATGATGTTGTACAACCCTCACCACTATTCATTTCCAAATTTTTCCATCACCTTTAACAGAAACTCAGTGCCTCCTAAGCAATGATTCCTTTCCCCTTTCCCACATGTCATATGTAACCACTAATATTTGGTCTCTATGTATATACCTATTCTAGATATTTCATATGAGTGAGATCATGTAATACATGTCCTTTAATGATTGACTTAATTCACTCAGCATGTTTTCAAGGTTCATCCATGTTGTGGCATTCATCACATTATTCTCTTCATAACTGAGTAATATTCCACTGTATGAATAGGCTAAATTATGTTTACTCATCCATCAATGGGCATTTAGATTATTTCCACCCTTTTCATACCTGCCCTTCTTTCGCCTTCTCTACCTCACTGGGATCCAGGTTGCTGTTCAGTAACTGGTCATGGAGGCCCTGAGGGTGGAGGCGGGAGTGTTAGGTGGCTGTGGCTGCAGGCCCACGGCTCCTTCTCAGCCTGGCTCATGGCCCAGCCCCACCTGCAGGGAGACTCCATGGATGACATCCAGGGGGTCGATGACATTGCCCAGAGACTTGCTCATCTTGCGGCCATGGGCATCTCGCACGATGGCATGGAGGTAGACCTGTGGGGCAGGCAGGTGTTGAGGTCTGTAAATGTGAATACCTCCCCAGGGCTTCCCATGGCTCTTCTCCATGCCCCACCCATGCCAAGCCTGAGCTGTGGCCAAGAGGGTGAGCTGTAGGTGGGGGGGTCTGGGTAGTCTTCATACCTCTCGGAAGGGCAGCCTGCCGGTGAGTTTCAGGCCGAGCATGACCATCCGGGCCACCCAAAAGAACAGGATGTCATGGCCCGTCTCCAGCAGTGTCCCCGGGTAGAACACACTCAGGTCTTCTGACTGAGGGCACAGAAGGACATGATGGGAGCCCAGTGCCCACCTCTGAGATCCCTAGCACCCCCCCAACCTTTGCCTGACCCCAGGAACCCACCTGGTTAGGCCAGCCCAGAATGGAGAAGGGGAAAAGACCAGAGGAGAACCAGGTGTCCAATACGTCCTCATCTGAGGGAGGCCAAGGATCAAAAGTCAGCTGGGGGGTCAGGAGAGGATCAGAGCCCCAGCTCTGCCCTTCCCCTCAGGGCTCGGCTTGCCTTGCTGGAGGCTGATCTTGTCAGGAGACACTCCAAACTCCTTGGCCGCCTTCTCCCGGGCCTGTGCCTCACTGCACGCACTCACCCAGTACCGCTCATCAGAGTCCTGCCAAGGGTGAGATGAGCACCCCAGGGGGCTGTCTTGCCCACTGAACTGTAAAGCCCTGAACTCTTCCCCCACTAAATACCCAACAAATCCACAGCTACCCCAGATGTTTCAGTACCCAGCTCTGGCCCCGTCCTCACCTCCCCAGGAGGTACAGTAGGGTCGTTGACAGTGATGAAATAGGCTGGGATGCGATGGCCCCACCACAGCTGTCGGGAGATGCACCAGTCCCTGCAGATGGTGGGCATGGGGGTGGTGGGGTCAGGGAGGGCAGGAAGTCACCCTGGCCTGGGCCCTGCTCAGCCCTTCACCCAGCTCCCCACTCGGTGGGCCCCACGCACCGGATGTTGTCCATCCAGGCATGCCATGTCCGCTGATGGGCCTCAGGCAGGATGCGGAGGTCACCCCGTGTCACAGCAGCACTGGCTGCCTGGGCCATTTCCCCACAGCTCACGTACCACTGAGGCCGCAGCAGAGGCTCCACCACGTCCTTGGAACGGCTACGGTGGACAGAAAGGTGGTCAGCACCCCGAGGAACCCGTCCCCGCCCCTGCCCAGCCCCAGCCTCACCCTCACTTGCAAAGCGGCACCACCATGGGGTTATCCTTTATGTCCCTGAACAGTCCCTGCTCCTTCAATGCTGCCAGCACTGCCTTCCTTGCCTCAAACCTGGGCAAGCCCTGGGTGGGACAGAGGTCTTGTCATGGCCATGCCAAGACACCCTTTCCTCTTCCCCGACCCAGGCCCCATGCCCTTGTGGCCTTACCAGGAAAGGTGGGGGCACATTAATGAGGACCCCGTGTGAATCCATTATGCTGATGGCCTCCAGCCCATGCCGCTGCCCAACCTCATAGTCATTCTGGTCATGTGCAGGGGTGATCTTTACCGCACCTAGGGATGTATGTGGGGTCCCAGGCAGAGTCCCTTCCCACATTTCCTACTTTTGCTTGAGGACATGCTCCCAGACTGCTCCTGGCCCCTACTTCCCTAATGTACTCCCCAGAGATCCAGCCCAAGTCTAGCCTGTCCAGTTGAATGAAGCTCGTTTTATTTTTCTTTAAGAGAGTAGATGGATGGCCAGGGTGCTTCATGGGCTCCAGCCTTCCTCTCCCCATAGGACTAGCCCTTGCTCACCTGTGCCAAACTCCATGTCCACAAAATCATCAAAGACAATGGGGAGGCTCCGAGACAGGAATGGGTGGATGACGCTCTTCCCCTTCAAGTGCTGGGGACAAAAGGGGTCATAAAAAATGTACCAAAAAGCAAAAAGAGAGTACCAAGAGCTGGGCCCGAGTCCCCCTCATCCAGGACACTGACTGTCCCAACACCCAAACCCCCTCAAATGGAAACAGAGGGCTTCATCTTCAAGGTCAGGAAAAGAAGCTGGAAGATGGAGTTTCTCATGTCTTCTCTTCAGCCAAGTGCTTTAATCCCCACCCCACCCCACCTCTAACTGTGGAGAGCATCCCAGCTCACCTGGTATCTGGGGTCTTTGGGATGCACAGCCACAGCCACATCACCCAGCATTGTCTCAATCCGAGTTGTTGCCACCACCACCTCCTCGTCGCTGTCTGAGGTGACAAGCAGCCTTGTGGTCTTAGCTGGCTTCTTCCCACATGGCCACCCCAGGATCCTGGTTCCCCAGCTCCTACCTGAGCCTTGAACTTTGTAGGCAAAGGAGACAAGGACTCCAAACTCCACCTTCTCCTTGTAGCCAGGCACAGACAGCAGGGTGCGGCCTGGCAGCTCCTTCTTATCCACCTATGAGACAGGTATTAAGAGAAGTGGCTCAGGGGGTCTAGGGGTTGGAGATGAGGAGAGTCTGAGGAGGAGGGGGAACATACCTCAATGTCAGAGATGGCAGAGTTGAGGGTGCAGGACCAGTTGACAAGGCGGGTGCTGCGATAGATGACCCCTTCCTCATGGAGCCGGACAAAAGCCTCTGTCACAGCCGCTGAGAGTTTCTGGATGGAGCAGGGGGCAATTAGAGAGATGAGCCTTAGTGCCTAGGGGCCCAGATGGACATGCCAAGGCAGCAGGGTCCAGAGAACCTGGGCCAGGGCTGAGCAGGGGTTTGAGTCCCACCTCCCACCTCACAGACCGCTTTGGGGGTTGAAAGGGAGAAGTAATTTTCTCAAAGGGGAGAAAGCATGACAAGAACACAGGAGCAGGGAATAAATCTGTGACACTCAGTGAGGGGCAGGTACTAGTCCAGAAAATCAGAAGAGGTCAGGCTCCAGGAAAGGGCAAGGCCTGGTCAGGGAGCCTCATGTGTGGCCCAGAGGCTCTAGGAGCTCATGGAGCAGTGACAGGGAGCAAAAGGCCATGATAAGGGTGGGGAGTAATGTCTGCAGTAGGCCCTCAGTGGTCTCCTGTGAGGTTGCCTTGGGGCACAGCAGACAGGCTCTGTCCACTCCCCACCAAGCCCTGAGACTCCTTCCACTCACAGGGTCCATGGTGAAACAGGCTCGGTCCCAGTCCAAGGAGCTGCCCAGCTTTTTCAGCTGGTGGTAAATCCGGTCACCTTTCCTAGAAGTGGACAGACAGGCCAGAATCAGCACTTAAGCCTGGGCTACAGGGAGATACTGGTGGCTGACGTGGTATTCTTTTGACTTGACCCAGGCTCAGGAGCCAGTAGACCTTTACCCTCTATAAAGGGCTCTGCCCCCTATAGCCAAGGGTTACCACAGGTGACAGAGGTCTTTGCTGAGGAGTGAGGCAGGGAGGCAGGACTGTGGTACCCACAAAGAGGCTGCATACTCACTCCTCCTTCCACTTCCAGACCTCCTGCAAAAAGGCCTCACGGCCCAGCTGGTGTCGGCTCAGTCCTTGCTCACGCCACAGTTTTTTTTCTACCACCACCTGGGTGGCAATGCCTGCATGGTCACAGCCAGGATTCCACAGGGTGGTCTCCCCGCGCATGCGATGCCTATGGGAGGCAGGTAAAAGACCAGGCTCACTCACATGCTGACCCAGAAGGTGAGCCGGGTCAGGGGAACCTGGCATCAAAGGGAGAAGGGGCTTTTGCAGGCAGGGAGTCAATGGAATATAAGGAAAGAAAGGGTTGGTGAAGCTTGAAGCCCTCCTAGTTCTAAAATCAGTCAGGAAGAGAAGATTTGCAGAAATAGCCAAGGCAATTTTGAAAAAGAATAAAGAACACTCTTGCTCAATTGGATAGCAAAACATATGAGAAAGTCGTATGTTTTAAGACAGTAAGTTACTGCAGAACAAAGAACAGATGAGAGGAACAAAACAATAACTGGAAACAGGTCCAAGCAAATTTAGTATGTGTTAATAGTGGCATCTCAGATCTGTAAGGAAAGGATAATCCATTCAGTAAATTTGGGACAGAGATAGAGTCTTCCCCTAGTGCCTACATTTGGACTCCTAACATCCTAAACTAGGACATAAAGGAGCTCTGGTAGCACAAACATTAAGTACTCTGATGCTAACCAAAAGGTCTGTGGTTTGAACCCACCAGTGACTCCAAGCAGAAAAAAACCTCACAATCTGCTCCTATAAAGATTACAGCCTAGGAAACCCTATGGGGCAGTTTTACTCTATCATATAGTGTCACTCTGCATCAGAATTGACTCCACAGCACACAACAGTGAAAAAATAAATTTCTGCTTATTAAAGCAGCCCACTTCTATTTCTATTACAGCAGCACTAAGAACCTAAGACAGTTAGTTGTCAAGAAGACTTAAGATTTCAAATTTCTTACTGTAAGAATATATGAACGTATTTCTTCTTTTTAAAAAATTTTTTGTGATTTGGGTGAAAGTTTACAAAGCATATTCATTCTCCATATAGCAGTTCAAACACATTTTGTTTCAATGACATTGACTGCAATTCCAAACAATGTAATAGTTCTCTCCCCTCTTCCTCCCTGTAGTTACCTCTACCCTGTGTTCTTGTTTCCTATGCATTCCTGTGTCCCCCACCCCTACTTCAAGATATCTTCCTGTGCAAACACTGCCCTTCTGTTCTCCCATGACTGATCACTCTAAAGAGTATACCTATCTAATACAAATGTTAACCCTATTCTATATACCTGTACCTGTCCATTGTTTGGCTGGAAGCCACAAGAGTGAGTTCAGTTCCAGACCTTTTGGGTAACTAGGGGCCATAGTCTCAGGGGTCTCACCAGGCTCTATCAGACTAGTAAACCTGGTCTTTTTGGTAACTCTTTCTTTATAATTCTATAATCCCTGAATGGCTGACAGTGATAGCCGGGCACCACCTAGTTCGTCTGGTCTCATGGTCATATAGGCTGAGGAACACATGGTCTACTAGTCCCTTGGACTATTTTCATATGTCTTTGTGGTTTTCCTCATTCTTCTTTGCTCTAAAGAGAGACCTATTGTTGCACCTAGATGGCTGTTTGCAAGCTTTTAAGACCCCAGTCGTTACTCACCCAAGTTGGATGTAGAACAATGTATTTGTATAGTATGTTATACATGCAGGTTGAGCTTGATGTTCCCTGAGACCATGGTCCGGAGCCCACAGGTCCAACTATTCGCTCCCTCAGGGTGGTCAGCTGTGGCCAAGAAGCTATCATAAGTTTGCCGCTTGTTAGCTCTATTCTATATTTGGACATTCTTACAGCACATACAAATGCATATGTAGAAATATTGTCTGCCAACCCTATATATGGTCATGGGTATATCCCCTTTTGGCTGGACATATTTGAACATTCAGCCTGTCTACCCATCTATTTACCCACAGATTAATGTTTATTACCACTGACACTGCAGTATTGCATAAGGAACATATCAACATATTTCTTGTTAAAGTCAAAATAATGTTATTTTTAGTAGAAAGACAGGAAAGGAAGAGAGCCAGCAAGTAGGGGTGCTGGATGGTGTTACTTAACTAGGGGAAGATTCTATGATCAGAGAGGAATGACCAAGAAAGGGAAGTGCAGTGCCACTAGGGGGCAGAGCTGCCGGCCAATAAAGGAGTAGGTTGAATATGCCGATTAATGTAATTGCTGTCAATAAGCTGTATACCTTTAAGAAGCTAAAAGGCAAAAGTTGTGTGATAGATATATTTACAACAATGACACAAAAAAAGAGGAGTAGCTATTGAGGCTTCTTATAGTCATCCAAATACCTCATGGGATTTGATTCCTTGAAGGTTTAGGGTCATGGTTTCATGGGACATCCCAGTTAAATGGCCTAATAACATATCCAGTGCTTCTGTTCTACCTCCTAGCAGCAGAGGAAGAAGGAGAGTCAGGAATAGGAGGAAATGAAATGTGTGGCTCATTGCCTCCATGAACAACCTGCCTCCTTTGCTATCAGACTAGAACTGGATGGTGCCTGGCTACCATTTCTGGACATTTTGATCAAAGATTTTATACAGTTAGTCCCTGACATTATGTATTCAAGTTATGACTTGTTTTGTTTTTGGTGGTGATGTTATCATTTTCAGATGTTCATTTATAGATGTAACATTCCAACCCCCAAAGACAAAGATTGGATTTATAAACACACTGATGATAAAAGGAAAAAATAGCTTAACTGGTGAAGAATGTCTGTCTTGAGGATTATGCTCTTAAGATCTATCTATACAGGATCAAATTACAACGGCAACTCAAAACATTAGATAGGAACCTTAGAGTGGAGTGAATTTATGTTAATAGAGGAAGAACAACTCAAAAGAGGAGGATGAGAATGGTTACCCAACTTGAAGAATGTAATCAATGTCATTAAATGGTACATGTAGAAACTGTTGAATTTGTCTATATTCTGTTATGTAGACTCTCAACACCACTACTAAAAATAAATCAATTACTAAAAGAAAAATAATTAAATTTAAGAAAAAAAAAAAGAGTGACCCAAGACCAAGGATAGATTTGGTTGAAGATAATCTTACATAAGTACTTGTGCTACAAAATTATCCACATACATTACAGAAGTAACAGAGGACAGGAATGGAGTGCTTCTCAGAGACAACCAAACACCTTGAGAGAGAAAATCACCAGGCCTGCTGGCTTGGGACCATACTCTCGGGGGACATCATGATCAACTGGCACAACATAGTACATAAAAATCTTGCTCTATTTACCTGAGGTAGATACATTCCTTGGAGATAACAATCATGGGAGAAAGAAGGGCTGCTTATGCACAGGGAGACAGCTCAGGGGGCAGGAGTCCATGGAGGGATGGACACTGGGAAGAGGTAACTATGGGGAGGAAGTGGGAAGGGAGCTGTTGCATTGTGGTAAACTGTAGTCAATGTCATGAGACAAAGTGTATGTGAACTGCTGTATGGAAAGTGATTTTCCTCTGTAAATCTTCACCCAAATCACAATAAAAAAAAAAATCCCAATTAAAGAATGGGCAAAAAAAAAAGTATCTTGTTCTACATCCTACTTTCTTGAGTAGTAACTGGGATCCTAGAAGCTTTTGGCCATCTAAGATGCAACTACTGGTCTTCTTTTACCTGGAGAAAAGAAGAGTAAAGAAAATCAAAGTCATCTGGAAACAATTAGTCTAAAGATATGATGAACCACAAGAACCTCAGCCGTCATGACTCTGAGACCAGAAGAACTAGATGGTGCCTGGCTTCCAATGCCAACCACTTGGAAAGGGATCAAAATGGGAGATTCTGGTTAGAGTGGGAGGAAAAATGTGGAACAAAATTCAAAAACACAAAAAGAACCAGAATTACTGGTCAGATAGAGACTAGCGGAACTCCCAAGACTATGGCCCTGGGTTTTCCTTCAGGCCTAGAAATGGACTCACTTCTGTGGACTGGCTCTAAGCTCCACAGTAGAAAGATCTACATGCAGAACACCTACCCCAGAGGGATGCACCCCTTAGATCAATCAACCGTGAGACATCAGAGGGGTAGCATTCACAGAGGGAAAGCTGGACAGACGGATATGTATATATCAGAAGGGCATAGGGAGGGGGTAGTCATAGGCAGGAGAGGGGAGGAGAGTATTTTATGGTTGGGGATTGTAATTGGGGCTATGGAATCAAATATGCATGAACTGTTGAATGTAATACAAATCTGCTTTGTAAACCTGCACCCAAAGTACAGTTTAAAAAAAAAAAAAAAGGAAAGAGAGACTAGACAGATGCCACTAATCAGGTTAGTGAAGGGAGCCACAGAAGTGGAGAGAGAGGACAGAGGGGACCTGTCAGAGAGCAAACAGGAGCTCACCATCGGGTCAGAGAGTCCTGGATGGCATTGGTGAGTGCATGGCCCAGGTGCAGGGAGCCTGTCACATTGGGGGGTGGGATGCACATCATGAAGACACCTTGAGGATTTGGTGCTGACACACTGGAACGCTGATGGGGGTAGAGGGACAGGATACACACTAAGGCCTCATGTCATCTCTCCCAATCTCCCTGCAAGCAATGGATCCTTCATCCCTGCCCTCTAGCCTGGGAAACAGTGCCCACTCACCCCATATTCTGGCTTGAAGAAGCCCTGCTGCTCCCACCAAGGGTACCAGGCAGCCTCCACATACTGGGGGCTGTAGGAGTCAGGCATGGTGCCACTGACATCTAGGGGAGAGAGAAGGTGGGGCCAGTGCCAAGGCTGGGAGAAGCTGGGAAGGGGATAGGCCAGCAGAGGAACAGCTCTGGGCCTCTCTCATTCACATCACAAGGCAAAGTTGGAAGCCTGGGAGGTGTGCAACCTCACCAAGAAAAGTACTGGGAGTAAGGACAAAGCAAGAAGTGGTGAAAGCCTGGGAGGAGCAGCTAAGGAGGGTGGAAGTAATGGGTGGGTATCCCATCCCCATCCCAGTACCTTTCTTTTCCCCAGGTGGGGTTGGGATGTCATAGGTAATGATCCCAGGATCCCGTTTCTCCCTCTTCTCTGGTTTGGGTTTCTTCTGCTCGAGAGAAAAAAGACATGGACCCAGATGTCAACCACCACAGCCAAGGCACCAACCTGTCAGTCAGCTCCACCTTTTCTCACCTCGCCTGAAGGCAGCTGCTGCTGTTGGATCTTCTGCTTCTGTTGGAATTTCTCTAGCTTCTCCCGTTTCTTTGCCTCTTTCTTGAGCTGAGCAGCTGTCTTTGGGGGTACACAGACCTCAGGGCCTGGAAAGAGGCAAAGAAATGCAGACTCAGCCTGAGCTTACATCCATGAAAGATGTTTCAGATGGGCTATTATAGCTGCCTGAGAGCTCCTCCATACTGATCCTCCTGCCACACCCTCCTCAGGCCACTGTCCCAGTGATTCTGCCATTTCTGAGAGAAAAGAAGTAAGCTGCATGGAAGGCCCCAGATATCTCTAATCTTCTTACCCCCACCATTACTCACCTAGCTGCTGAGCAAGGGACCTAGCCCCTGAGTATAGAACCACCTCTCCCAGCACAGCCCGGAATTCTGGCTGTTGGACACAGGTGATAAACCAGCGAGTCACATTACCCCAGATTCGGCGGGCTGAGGGGTCTAGTACCTAGAATGGGGGAAAAGAAATTGAGCTATCCTTAGTCACTCTGGTGAGGCTTGATGGGAGCTGCCCTTGTTCCTCCCCAGGCCCCTGTGACTCACATATCGGAAAGGCAGCAACAAGGCTGTGACAGCCGCCAGGTCAGCCAGAGTGGGGGCCTCCCCAGCCAAGTAAGTGTGCAACCGAAGCCACTCCTCTAAGGGGCTCAGGGCTCGGCCCAGGGCACCCAGTGCAGCCTGGCAGGAAGATGAAAGGCTGTGAGACTCGGCTTAGCCCACCTCAATCCTCCCACCAGGCTCCTGGAACGTAATCTACATGGCCTCCCTCCACTCACACAAACCTGAGGCCAGTTTCCTCTTCTCTCATTTGATCATAATAAAAATGCTTTCTCCTCATTCATTTAACAAACCCCTACTAAACGCTCTGGTAGCGTAGTGCCTAAGGCACCTGACTGCTAACCAGGAGGCTGGCGGTTCAAACCCACTAGCCACTCCTCGGAAAGAAGATGGGGCAATCTACTTCCTTAGTGATACTGCCTCAGAAACCCAAGGAGGGGTTTCTAGTCCAACTCCACAGCACATAACAACAACAACTGAACACTTATTATGTGTCAGATGCTATTAAGCACAGATTACATAAGACAACACAGTAATTGCGTGAATAAATGTTTATTAAGCACCTACTATGTGCCTAGAAGCTCTGGTGGCATAGTGCCTAACCTGCTAACCTGAAGGCTAGTGGTTCAAAGCCACCAGCCACTCCTTGGAAGGAAGACTGGGCAATCTACTTCCATAGAGATATTGCCTTAGAAACCCAAGGAGGAGTTGCTATGAGTCAGATCCGACACAACAGCAATGAGCTTGGTTTTGGTTTTATGTGCCTGGTGAGGAGCCCTGGTGACACAGTGGTTAAGCACTCGGCTGCCAACCAAAGGGTTGGTGGTTTAAATTTACCACCAGCTCCGCAGGAGAAAGATGTGGCAGTCTGCTTTCATGAAGATTAAAGCCTTAGGAACTCTGTGGAGCAGTTCTACTGTCCTGTAGTGTCACCATGAGTTAGTATCAACTCAAAGGCAATGGCTTTGATTTTTGGTGTGTGCATGGTAAGAGTCCCTGAGTGGTGTGAATGGGTAACGTGCTCAGCTGCTAACCAAAAGGCTGGCAGTTCAAGTCTACCCAGTGGTGCCTCAGAAGAAAAGTCTGGTGATCTACTTGTGAAAAATCAACTACAAAACTCTATGGGTTTTCTCTATCAGTCAGGAAGGACGTTGCTGTTGAGGGGAGAAGAACCGTTATGTCTTCTAGTGTTGTGGCAAAATCTCAGATGTGAGGTCATCTGGCCAAGGGTCTGCAAATTCATTTTGATAGAGCATTCATTATGTCCCCAGGGATAGCAGCTCTTCATAAATCTATAGTAGCTGAACCAGAAAAGAAGGCATATGCAGATTTCTATAGAAATTATGAGCTCATGAAGGATTTTGTAGAGATGAGGAAAGCTGGTATCTTTAGTGCAAAGTAATATTGGAATGTAAAGACCTTCTTTGGATTGAGTTTCATGGAAGTTGTCACTGACCTATGTTCCTGAACCATGAAGCATGACTATGGGCTAAGGAATAGTTTCTCTTGGCAAATAAACAATTAACAAATAACAAAGAGAGAGAAAACCCTATGGAGCAAGTGGCCAGTGACAGATGAATGGATAAACAAGCTGTATGTGTGTACATATGTACATATATATGATGGAATACTATGCAACTACAAAGAATAATGACAATGAGAAGTCTGCTAAACATCTCGTAACATGGATGAACCTAGAGAACATTATGTTGTATGAAGTAAGTCAATCGTGAAAAGATAATGTACGGTCCTACTATTACAAAAAAAAAAAAAAATCAAGAGTATGAACACAGAAAAAGCAAAGTTGTTTGATGGTTACCAGAGATGAGAGGGAGAGAGACGGAAAATCATTTAGTAGATAATAGACACTTGTTATTATCGGTAACGGGAAAGAAGAGACCAAATATGGGTGATCAATACAACACAACTAAGGTAAATTAAGGCACTACGAAAAACATGAGAAAAAAGGGCAAGTATGGTAAATGCATATACAATTTTGCCACAACACTAAATACAACCAAAAAGTGTATGTGGTAACAAAGGTAAATGTGGATGTATATAGGTGTAAAAAAGACATACATGTCTAAATGCAAATGCATATATAGGTTTATCTATAAATATTATGTATATGTACATTTTTAATGTGTATTGCATTTAAATCCACATATATAACTACTACATAGGGGGCACAGTAACAGAGGCTTCCTAGATATATCGAAACAACTTGAAGGACTGGTTTACTGGCTCAAGGGCCTTGGGAACATAGTCTTGGGGGACAATTTATATAACATAGTTCAGAGATAATGCTTCACATCCAAGTTTGATGACTAGCATCTGGGGTCTTAAAAGCTTGTGAATGGCCATCTATGATCTCTACTCATACAGAGCAAAAAGAGAATGATGGAAATCAAAGGATCAAAGAAGAAACCAATCCATGGGACTAACAGCCTACACAAACTATAACCTCTTCAAATCTGAGACCAGAAGAAGTAGATGATACCTGGCTACCGATACTGACCATTCTGACTTGGGACATAATAGAAGGTTCCAGATAGAATGGAAGAAAAATATAGAACAAAACTCAAATTCCTTAAAAAGGCCAGACCTAATGTACTGGAAGAGACTAGAGAAACCCCCAAGATAATCTTTGAACATGGAATTGAAGCTATTTCTGCAGGTCACCCTTCAACCAAATAGATTGGCTTACAAAATAAACACTACCACCCCTGAGTGATATGCTTCCTCAAACAATTAACTACTTGAGACCAAATGGTAAGCATCTACCCAAAAACAAAAGTGAAAAGGCTAAGAGGGGAAGGGAAGCTAGATCAATGGAAACAGAACAAATAAAAGGGAAATAATGAAAATGCTGACACATTGTAAAAATTATAACCAATGCCTGAAACAATTTGTATAAAAATTGCTCAAGGTGAACCTAACTGCTATGTAAACTTTCACCTAAAACACATTAAAATATAATTAAAACAACAACAACAAAAAAAAAAACCTGTGGAGCAGTTCTATTCTGACACACATGGGGTCGCCATGAGTCAGAATCGACTCCATGGCAACTGGTTTGGATTTATTTTTTTTATGTGCCAGGCATTATTCTAGGGTCTAAAGAAACAACTTCAACAATCAGGCCAACGCTTCAACCTGGTGGAGTTTATATTCTATGGGAGACAATAAATGGGCAAACATATTATGTGCTACCCTATTTTTCTCTGTAAGTGCTATGTAGAGAAACAAAGCAGGGTGATCAGGACTTGATACATAGTATTTAAATATAATATTTTAAAATATGGTGACCAGGATTTGAAAAGGCAAGCCAGGGCCTAAGCAACATATCCAACTATCCAGTCAGTCAGTCAGTGATGATACTAAACGTTCACTACGTGCTCAATAGTAGGAGCTTCAAGGACACAGGCACAGTCACATTCTGGAGGGACAAACAGTTACAATGTGGTGAAGTGATCCATTAAAGTTATCGTCCCTTTCCCTTACTGCCCTATCTCATTTTCATTTCTCATTCATCTCCTCCTAACAACTGTTACCTCTTTCCACCCTGCCTAAGCTGCCCAAGTCTAATCACCTCTCCCTCACCCAGTTTCTTCCCCCATTTCGAAGCAACTCCTATCCTCCCCAGCTCAAGTATTTACTCTGAGCCTTTAAGACCAAGACAATGGGCTAAGTGCTCTGCACACATCTTTTCATCTTCTCAGCAACTCAGTGAGGCAAGTATTACATCACTTTTGCTTCATAGACATAGGAAACCAAGGCTCAGAAAATTTAAGAAACGTGCTCCGGGTTACCATACGAGGTGGCAATCTAGATTTGATAAAATTTTATTCCCTGAGAAGATATTTTCCTTCTTATTACCTATCCCAATCCTTCCTTCCTTCCTCGGAATTAGTTCTCTCCTCTTCACTCACCTGGGGGTCCTGGGCAGAACTTCGAAGTCCTAGGGCTGGCAGTGTTGCCCCACAGGCAGCTGGTATAAGCTCCGTGTCGGCATAACTGACCCACTGTTGGACAAGGACAGCTGCCCGGCTACCCGCAGGACCCCCCAAGCCTGCTGGCCACAATAGCTGAGCAACAGCCGTGGCCCCCCACACCCAGAGCCCACCTGGCCCTTGCTCCAGGGCGGGCAGGCGAGGTGGGGGAAACGGAGTCCTACTTGTCGGGGGCGGTTGAAGACAGATGCGGGGGTGGGCACCTCCCCATCCGGGACCCTCCCCAGCCTCCCCATAGCGCGCGGCTATGAGGGCTCGGAGGCTGGGGAAGGCATCGGGGTGAGGGGAGACGTACAGGATGGACATGGTTATTCAAGGACTCCGAACGAAGTGGAAAAACCTAGGGAGAAAGAGAGATGAGGGAAGATAAGGGATCTGGGGGGTTCGTATTTGAGGAGAGGGGACTCTAACGGGGACTCCTCTGCCGCAGGCGCCCGACTCCTAGGACTGGGAGCCTGACGAGGCCTCGAGAACTGAGGGCCGGGATGTCCGAGCGCCTGGGGCAGAGTGGACCGGAACTCCCCATGATCATGGTCCTCCGGAATGTGGGGGGCTACGAGGAGCCCTTGTGCATCTGGCGGGTCACACGTTCGGGCCGCGTGTACGTACTGGAGGGAGGTGGTTAGGCCGGGCCTGGCCGCGGCGGCATGGGCCGGTGGCCCGGGCAGAGGAGTCAGGCAGGTGGGGGCGATGGCGGTCTTCGGCACGATCCTACTTTCCGGAGACCGCCTCTCGGGCTACCGGCGCCCACGTGTCCCCCCCTCCTTTATGACAGAGAGCGTTTCCGGGCCCTTGGGTCCTGGCGCAGGCGTCTACGTCCCGCCTGCCGTGCGGCCTCTGCCCCGGCTCGGCACTGCTCCGAGGACGAGCCGCCGCTGCCGACCGCACTCACGAAGAACAGCGCTGGGCGCAGGCACAGCAGGGGAAGAGGGCGTCCCTGGCACCGCGCTGCCATCAGGCGCCGCCGCGGGCACCCCGCGCGGGTCCTCAGGGCCGGCCAGTAAGAGCGGCGGGCCGCTGGGCTGGCCATAGAGGGCGGTGCCGAATGGGCAGCTGAGAGGTCGTGAGGAGGGTGCTGCCGCGTTGGGGTCTGCTGCCCTGGTGGGAAGCGGAAGGTCCATTTTTCCCCGACCCCAGCAATCCATCCTCGTTCCTGAGCCTCAATTCCTCATGTATGAGATGAGGGCCTCACTCTAGGTAGCCTCTGAGAGCCCCAAAACGCTGTGGATTTTCACCTGTGGCAGGAATTCCTTTGCTGAATGAGTAGTGTAGCAATACCAAGTCATAACTCCACGCAATACAAGTTATGTCACTTGTTTGCATTTACCTTCTACAAATATTCAGAAAGAGTACCGATTTGGCTGGGTTGTGGAAAAAACCCAAAACATTTCATGAATTTTGGCTGAGAGCCCGACCACCTGACGCCAGTGAGTGGGGGCTAACCAGACCAAGAGGCCATCAGACACTGATGCTAACCCTCAGAAGCGCACGATGGCCATATGGTGAAGCCAATAAAAGGCATTTTAAGATGGAGGTTCACTGGACCTTCCTGTTAAGAGCAAGCATCTGCTCTTGGATCTCCTGGACTTTCCCCTCTCCCTTTGTGTTTTTCTCTGCTAAAGATAGGCCCTTCCCCGCAGTTCCTGAGTTGTTTAAACGAATTATCTGAGAAGGGGCTGGTACCTGACCTAAAACCAAAGAACCAAACTTATTGCTGTCAAGTCAGACCCTCATAGGGACTCCTCCTTGGGTTTCCAAGCTGCTATCACTATGGAAGTAGATAACCCAGTCTCCCTTCTGGGGAGTGGCTGGTGGGTTGGAACAGCCAGCTTCCTGGTACCTGACCTGTTGTTGTTATGTACCGTCGAGTCACACCTGACTCATAGTGACCCCTCCTTGGGTTTCCGAGGCAGTATCACTACGGAAGTAGATTGCCTCATCTTCCTTCCGAGGGTACCTGACCTAGCCCAGTGAATAAGGATAAGAGACAAAGGGCTCCATGGTATCTGAACTGACCAGGGAAGGAAGCTGAAACTCCCTAGGGCACAACTGCATATGGAATAGAATTTATTATCCACTATACATTTGGCATCAGAGGTAGATAATTTCAGCTTTCCTGGACTCATATGACACCACACTGGAAAAAACACTCCAGTTATAGGTACAGTATAAGCAAAAGGCCAGATGGAGAAAATGTACATAGGGGCATGTTCAGGAAACCTGGTGTGTAGTCCAGGTATTATATGTTGTATACAAAGGAAAGTCATGACAGATAATGCTGGGTAGTTGGGTTGGATACTTGGCTGTGGGAATGGAGAGTAACAGGACTTGAATGAATCCATCACCACCTTCCTACCTCCCACTCCCCACAGTCCTTGCCCAAAAATTAAGAACACAAAACCACAACTTCAATTTGCATCATAAATTTTATTCCCGATGCGGGATAGACTCCTTCCACCCCCAACAGAATCACATCCTGCCCTGAAAGATCTAGGAGGCAATCTCCAGGGAAGGAGTGAGAAAGGCAGATGTTGGGGACTAGGAAGCCTTTGCAGTTTCCCATCCTATTTATCCTCCCCTTCTCAACAAAGGATAGCTGCTCCCCAGTATTATTCCTCTCATCCAAAGAGGGAAAAAAAAGCCTTCACTATTAAAAACCAACCAACCAAAAAACCAATCCTATGGGTGAGAGGGACCCTGGGCTGGGATATAAGGTTAAAGGTCACCAGTGTAAGAGGGAAGAGAAACACAGAAGGAACCATCACTGTTTCTGCTGCAGGGCCTCCTTCCTTGCTGCATCCTGGAGCAACTGTGTGTCGACCTCATCTGCTGGCAACTGCACATAGCGGACCACCGAGCCCCGGATGAAGCAGTTCTTCACTGATAACTAGACAAAGGTGGACAAATGAGATAATACTCTTTAAAAAAAAAAAAAAAAGTCCTATAGCTGCCCATTTTTGGAGGTGTTTCTTCTTCTCCACCATCCAAACTCACCATGTGTGGGTATTTTTCAGGGTCTGTGACACTGATGTCAGTTAGTTTGATGTTGAGATACTAAAAAAAGATGGAATACTATCATTAACCCTAAAGATAACACACAAGTATCCAGCCTTTAAGTTCTCCCTTCTTCCCCAAGACCCAATACTGGACTCTTACGATTATCTCACCTGATCCACAGAATGGAGTGTTCCACAGATGCTGTTAGGGGCAGAGAGAAGGAAAATCAAATTAGTTTATACCAAAGTCAACATAAAGATGACTTCAGAACTGAGATGAGGCACAGTTGGGGAAAGTAAAAAACAAGGGTGCCAGATAAAGCAGTCAGCCTTGCTCTTGATGATGCAGACACAAGAGGCATCCTCATTCTTGTTGTTTGCTGCCATCACATAGGCCCCTGACTATGCACAACAGAAAGGAATGCTGCCTGGTCCTGCACCATCCCCGTGATAGGTCGCAGACTGGACTGCTGTCATCCATAGGGGTTTCATTGGCTAATTCTTGGAAACTGATCACCAGACCTTTCTTCCTAGTCCACCTTTGTCTGGCAACTCCACTGAAACCTGTTCAGCATCATAGCAACACCAAAAGCCTCCACTACAGACAGGCGATGGCTGTGCATGAAGTGCACTGGCTGGGAATTGAACTCAGGTCTCCTACATGGCAGGCAACAATTCTTTCACTCAACCACTTGTTAATAAAGCTCCCTAAAATGTTGAGGAGGAATGCGATATAAACACCAGTGCTCCAAGTTATGCTATCTCTCTCTCCCAATTTCTTTAATTTCTATCAAAGGCTTCAACACTTTAGTCCCACAACTTCAAATTCTGAGTTGTACTTCTTCACCCTCCATGTCCTGTAAATCCCATCATCTGCTGACTTCTAATTAATTTCTATGAACTTAGGTCTTATAATTTTGTACCTCAATTCATGCCAATGTCCAACCTGCTGAGTTTTTTTAAATGATTTTAATGTTTTATTTTCACATTTATTTTAATTTGTATCATATTCAAATTTGTTTATGCCAAACACAATTATATTTTATTCTTTTTTCTTACTATGGAGACACAGAAATGTTGTAGCCCTCATGCGAGCATTACCCATCCTTAACAGTCCTTCTCTATCAACACCTCCATCCACTCCTCCATATTATTTTGAAGCACAGGCCACCTTGATCTTAAACCAAACTGTATGTCATCACCAGATTCAAGTTCTTTAGAACTGTAGTTCTGAAAAAGTAAGATGTGCACGCAAAAGTTTCAGGAAACAGGATAATACAGAGAATGTGTATGTGGGTTGTGCATAGGATTGCCAATAGTTTTTTCCTAAGAATAATGGCTCTTTTAATTTTTGGGGGGAGGAGTATTAAAGAATGTTTTCAATGAAACGTCCTATCCTCTCAAAAATAAAGTTGGCAATTCTACACTGGACCCCCAATTTCTAGAAAACTACAAATCTTTGAAATCCAGGGTCTGAGACCTATTGCCTCGGTGGTGTTGTCACCATGTCCCGGGCTGCTCAGAAGTCTGGGACAGCATTCCACTGTATGCAGTAGTGGCCACACCTTTCAGGAATTGAATCAAGTGCTGTCATATGACTCAGTCCCTTAAGAAGGAGACAGACACCTGACACACAAGTGGTCTGACAAGAAGAATGAGAGAAAAAGCTCTTCTCCCAAAACAAGTGGTCTGACAAGTAGGATGAGAGAAAAAGCTCTTCTCCCAAACAAGAGACTGGCTAGAGTCTTCCAAATCCTTGCTTTAGGCCCTGAGCTATACACAACAGTTATCTTTGCCAGGAAGAAGGCCCAGAAAGGAGAAAAAGTACTCAAAGACAAGTCAACTCAGAGTGGCCTATGACTGGATTTTGTCTTGCTCTATGGTCCCAACCAACATCTGCATTGCCAGTGGCATCAGTGCCATGAATTGAAATCGGTGGCATGAAAGGAAAAGGCCTTCAAGTTCAGCCCCTCACCGTTTCCTGCCATGTCAATCTTTCTCCCACAAAGAAATGATTTCACATTCTCCTGGGTGGAAGAAACTGTTGGATAGAAAATACATTAATTCAATCTCTTCCTAAAGGATAATCAGGTAATAGGTACAAATATTTTAAATGTACGTTTGATTTAAAAAGATTTTTTTCTAATGAAATATCAGATATGCATAGATATATATGTAAGGATATTAAAGATAGCATCATTTGCAAAAGCAAAGACTTGGAAAAAGCCTAAATGTCTAACAGTAGGATCTTGGTTAAATCCAGCCATCTTAATAGAATACCGTTGTTGTTATTTGCCATCAAGTCAGACCCGACTCACAGCGACCCCTCCTTGGATTTCCAAGGCTGTATCACTATGGAAGTAGATTGCCCACCCTTCCTTCCGAATAGTGGCTGGTGGGTTTGAACCGCCAGCCTTCTGATTAGCAGTCAAGTGCCTTAGGCACTACACTACCAGAGCTCCTAATAAAATACTTGTTGTTGTTATCTGCCTTCGAGTCGCCCCAACTCACAGCGACCTCTCCTTGGGTTTCCGAGGCAGTATCACTACGGAAGTAGGACTGCCCAACCTTCCTTCCGAGGAGTGGCTGGTGGGTTTGAACCTCCAGCCTTCTGGTTAGCAGTCAAGTGCCTTAGGCACTATGCTACCAGAGCCCTAATAAAATACTAGTCAGTCATTAAAAATTTTAAAGAATCAACTTTATTTTACACAGAAAAATATCCACAATACCCTGTTAAATGAAAAGCTTCACAATTACACACAGAATACTATGCCATTTTTAATAGTTTTTTTTTTAAAAGGAGTCAGATAGAACTGGATTTCAGTTCTGGCTGTGTGACTTAGTTGAGCAAGTTTCTTAACCTAAGTTTCAGTTTCCTCAAGTATAAAACATACTTGAGAAAACATAGCTGTGTTGTGAGAATGAAATGAGTTAATTAATGTAAAGCACTCAGTACAGTGCCTAATCCACAAAAAGCTCTCAAATGTTCGCTATTTTCCTTTTACTCAGCACATGTTTATTAAGCTCTTACTATATACCAGGCCTACATTAGGCATTAGGTATACAGTGGTGAGCTAAGTGTGGTTCTGGTCCTATAGGGAGGAAAGGCCATAAACAGTAAGTATATTTTTGCGAAAACACAATTTGAGAAGCACCCCCTAGGAAGAAAGTAACAAAGGAGCCTACTTAACTAGAAGGACAAAGAAGTCTGTCCAAGGACAGAGCTTTTAACAAAGTCCTGAAAGACTTAACAAAGTCCTCAAAGTCTGAGCCAATGATACAAAGAGATAAGGGATTTATAAAACCCACTGCCATCAAGTCAATTCCAGTGCATAGCGACCCCCATTGGGTTTCTGAGGTGGTAAATCTTTATGGAAGTAGGATGCCTGGTCTTCCTTCTGTGGGGTGGCTGGTGGGTTTGAACCACCAATCTTCTGGTTAGCAGTCAAATGCTTTAGGTACCACACCACCAGAGCTCCTTAAGGGATTATGTTGTTGTTTGTTGTTATGTGCCATCAAATCATACCTGACTCATAGCGACCCCTCCTTGGGTTTCCAAGGCAGTATCACTATGGAAGTAGATTGCCCAACCTTCCTTCCAAGGAGTGGCTGGTGGGTTTGAACCTCCAGCCTTCTGGTTAGCAGTCAAGTGCCTTAGGCACTACGCTACCAGAGCTCCCAAGAGATTTATAGACAGAAGCTAATACACACAGAAGAGACTGCACTAGTCCTGTAATTATTCCACATTCTCTTTAAAAAGGAGATTATGCCACACATACTATTCTGCAACTGCTTTCCATAGCAGTACATCTCATTCCTATGTCACAGCTGTAGAGTATGGAAATACCACAAGTTAATAAACCCATTCCCTATTGATGGAGAGATTGTTCCCAATTTTGGGCTATTACAAATAAAGCTACAAACACCTCTATACATGTATCTTTATTTGTTGAACTGATTCTTCAATGTCTAGAAGTCTGGTCAAAGAAGCATATAATTTAATCAGGAAAAAAAAACTACTGATTTTGGAAAACATTTTATTGACATCTTCACCCTCTGAACTCTCTAATATCCACCCTTTAAATTATATATTGCTCTGTATTGTTTTCCTATGCACGATACAACTTCCAAGCTAACCTGTAAATGACCTGGGTCATTTATTCTTCTCTATTTCTCCCACCTTGCCCAGCCATCAAATACTTGTCAAACTAAAAAGGTGCCAGGATTCTGAGCACACCCACTGACTACAAACTTTGTGAAATAAGTACCTACCTCAAGTCATTTTTTAGTTCCACGACCACATCCTTTCCCACAAGGGACTTGAAAAAGGAGTAGAAGAGCTATAAAGTGACAGAGGAAAACCCATCAGGTGGGGAGAGGCACGGTAGGGCAGAGTGTCCCCTTGGCAGTATTCTCAAATACTGATTTTGGGATCCCCACTTCCCTGGCAGTTCTCAAAACTTCACAGGAAAAAATACTCGCTTGAGAGGGTGAAAGGCTGGAACGCAAATGATTCTGTACATTCAAGTCCCTTACTTGATGCACCAGACGGCAGCTCTATCCTGCGCTACTCGGGTTCCTGAACCTGCTTTCCCAATCGACCTCTCCTGGAGTCCCTGCACACTCCTTCCAGTTAATTGCTGAAGGTATCCCACCCGCCCTCCCGAAGCCCGGTCTCTGACTGAGAAATGCTTCTTCAGGTCTAGTTTTTCCCTCTCCTGTTGTCCACGCCGACTCTTCAAGCCCAAAGGACCAAACCCCGGACGCCCACCCGCCCCCAACCTTCGGAAACACCGGGGTTCGCCGAGGGCGCCCCCTTGTGACGTCACGGTACCTACCATAATGCTCGCACAGCTGGCCGCAGGGTAGTCGGGGGAAGAGAGGCACCGGTGCCACGCGCTGGAGGTCAGGAGGGAACTCCAGCGCGAACCCGCGCGTTGGGGGAGCTGGGGTCGTGCAAGCGAAGCCGGAGGCGCCGCGAAAAGCTCCCAGCAAAGGAGAAAACGCAGCAAGCCGGAGCGGAGAAGTAGTGGTCCGAAAGACCAGCAGGATAAAGCAGAGGGGAAGATAAAGCCGGAAAATGGGCGGAGCATCCTGCCTTCCTACTTCCTCTCGGGGCGACTGGCTCCCACCGCGCAGGCGTGGGTCGAGGACCGTTTAATAAAGTCCTCAGCTCGCCTGAGAAGTTTTTGTGCGATTAACACCATGGTTTACTGACACCTACACAAATTTGCTACTGAAAGTTGTTGGAGAATTTCAGGAAATTTATTTTGTGCACTTTTCTACGTGTGTGACGAATAAAAAATTTTAAAAAGTGTTGAGTCCCTGAGTTCAGAAGGAGCTTGGATACAAATCTTGATTTTATCAAATGTTCCTAATAGATTTATCTCAAGGATCCAATCGCTGTCTTCACATTTACACACTTTTGCCTAGGGCTGTCCTGTAAAAGGCCTGAGTAGATGAGTAGCACAGAGACTCTGGTTTGGGTATAGAAATACCCATTTTCATTTTCATTTTCAAATATTGCCCCCTCAAACGCAAAACAAATGCAGTTAGGTATACTTCTATATTCATGTTCCTCAGGCACATATAATCTATGACACAAGAGTAATTCTTTTTCATCGAATAAGTCTATTAAATCATCCATTTCTCATCTACCTTACATAAAAATACCCATTTGTCAGGAGTTTGTTGTAGAAATTGTTTCTACACGTGAAGGATGTAACAATAGACTCTGAGTACATAGACGCTGGATCTCCTGGATCCCACCTATAAATGACTCAGGATATCGAGCAAAAATTTGCTTCTACCACCCAAATCCTAAGCATTTAAACCAGCCTGTCACTAAATATAAGAAGTAACTACAATTGGTAACTGCTATATCTAGGATTAAAGGTGACTGGTAGTCAAAAATAATTTGTCTGTTTGAAATTATTAGCTCATGAAAATTCAAACACTTTGCCCTTAGCAGCTTAATCACTCACAATGAGCTCACAATCAGGGGATACATACTATCTCCAGGAGCTCTTTTTATTGCTTTTCAAGATATACACAGCCTACGACACCAGAAATCATTTGCTTTTGGAACAAATTTAATGAATGACAACCATCCACACAGAAAGAAGAAAGTTGGGGCTAGGCAGAAATAAATAACAGACATTCAAATTCCTCAAATGGTTCAAAGAGGGTCTAGTTTTCCTAAGAGTCTTATTCCAGAATCAGTAAAAAGGACCTTTATGTGAAAAGATGGTGTAAAAAACTCCTTCATCAGAATCCCAAAGAGATGGTAAACTTAGGTATAGGTCCAGTCAATTCAAGAATCATAAGAATGTGTGAAGATAAGGGAAACAAAATTCATCTTACAGGGACCCTAGAACCCTCCAGTTTCCAGATGAAATTAATCTACTTCTTCAATGGTGGGGCCTGCAGCAGACCTTCCAGAGGGGTTCCCTATTCCACAGGCAGGTCCAGTGCATCCTCCCTGGTAAAGTTTTGTAATGACTGGGTTACACACACGCTCCAATTCTTTTCTCTTATGATCAAACTCATCTTTGTCAGCCAGTTGATTGGTCTCCAGCCACGAAAGGACTTCATTGCATTTATCCAGTATTTTCTTTTTATCAGACTCACTAATTTTGCCCTTCAAGCCTTCATCAGACACAGCACTCTTCATGTTAAAAGCATAGGATTCTAAGGCATTTTTTGCAGTGATTTTTTCCCTCTGGACCTCATCTTCAGCTTTATATTTCTCAGCATCCAGAACCATGCGCTCAATCTCCTCTTTGCTCAGGCGGCCCTTGTCATTGGTGATAGTGATCTTGTTGGCCTTGCCTGTGCTCTTGTCCATGGCTGTGACATTAAGAATACCATTAGCGTCGATGTCAAAGGTCACCTCAATCTGAGGTACTCCCCTGGGTGCAGGAGGGATTCCAGTCAGATCAAAGCGCCCTAGCAAATTGTTGTCCCTGGTCATGGCCCTCTCACCCTCGTACACCTGGATCAGCACCCCAGGCTGGTTGTCTGAGTAGGTGGTGAAGATCTGCGTCTGTTTGGTGGGGATGGTGGAGTTGCGCTTGATCAGGGCAGTCATCACGCCCCCAGCCGTCTCCAAACCTAGGGACAAGGGAGCCACATCCAACAAAAGCAGGTCTTGTACTTTTTCAGACTTGTCACCCATCAAAATGGCTGCCTGTACTGCAGCTCCATAGGCGACTGCTTCATCAGGATTGATGCTCTTGTTGAGATCACGACCATTAAAGTAGTCCTGCAGCAGCCTCTGTACCTTGGGGATACGAGTGGAGCCCCCCACTAAAACAATGTCATGGATTTTAGCCTTATCCATCTTGGCATCACGAAGAGCTTTCTCCACTGGCTCCAAGGTGCCCCTAAACAGATCTGCACACAACTCTTCAAACCGAGCTCTGGTGATGGAAGTGTAGAAGTCTATACCCTCAAACAGGGAGTCAATCTCCAGGTTGGCCTGGGTGCTGGACGACAGGGTTCTCTTGGCCCTCTCACAGGCGGTGCGCAGCCGCCTCACAGCTCGCTTGTTCTGGCTGATGTCCTTTTTGTGTTTCCTTTTGAACTCCTCCACAAAGTGGCCCACCAGCCTGTTGTCAAAGTCCTCCCCACCCAGGTGGGTGTCCCCAGCTGTGGCCTTCACCTCAAAAATCCCATCATCTATAGTCAGGATGGACACGTCAAATGTGCCTCCCCCTAAATCAAAGATCAGGACATGTCGCTCTCCCTGACCTCCCTTATCTAAACCATAGGCAATGGCAGCAGCTGTGGGTTCATTGATGATTCTTAGTACATTGAGTCCTGCAATCACACCTGCATCCTTAGTGGCCTGGCGTTGAGAGTCATTAAAATAGGCTGGCACGGTGATCACAGCATTGGTGACAGAGTGGCCCAAAAATGCTTCTGCAGTCTCCTTCATTTTAGTCAGTACCATGGAAGAGATTTCCTCAGGATAGAAAGCCTTATTTTCTCCTTTGTACGATACCAAAACCTTGGGCTTACCCCCATCATTGATTACTTGAAAAGGCCAAAGTTTCATATCTGATTGCACCACAGGATCATTAAATTTCCTTCCAATCAAACGCTTGGCATCAAAGACAGTGTTCTGGGGATTCATGGCTACCTGGTTCTTGGCCGCATCCCCAATGAGCCGCTCGGTGTCAGTGAAGGCCACGTAACTGGGGGTGGTGCGGTTGCCTTGATCATTGGCAATGATCTCCACCTTGCCGTGCTGGAACACCCCCACACAGGAGTAGGTGGTGCCCAGGTCAATGCCGATGGCCATTCCCTTAGTAGCAGCCATGGTTTTCCTAGGCCTGTGCAGAATGAATGAGATAGGTTTTAGCAGAGTGTTCTTGCACAAAGTAGACAAGAGTCTCAGTCAATTTGAAGAGGATGGAAGCAGTGGATAGGCACTCATAGGGTCTCACAGGGTCTGATTCAACTGTCCTGTTCCTATGTGTCTATGATATATCTTATTGTGGAATTGTATCTCTTGCTGAACTAAGATTATTTTACATTCTGATCTCCCCCACACTTCAGTTTTGCTGCCTTCCTGAGCTTCTTTACCCTCTATTGGAGAGTCACAGACTGTAAATTCAGGTTAGTCTCAAACTGGCTTCTAGGAACCCAATCAAGCCCTTACAAATTTTCTCCTTGGGGGAGGTAGAGTGCCCCAAACAGTCTCTTCTAATACTCTTCTGAATAAAAAGCCTGTTTGTGAGAGCCAAAGATAGAAAGGGGTTACTAGTTCTTTCTGACACAAATTCCTATCTATCCTGTGTGCCTCTTTGGGGCAGCTTTGACCAATCTCAGCTACCTTGGGACTCAAAACTTAAGATCTTAAACAACTAGGGAACTAACTTCTCAGCACATTCTCAAACAAGGACCCACCGGCTTACTTATTCCCACCTCATTCCAATCAGAGCCCACCCTCCCGGCTCACCTATTTCCCTGCCGGCTCCGCTCCAGTTTGGAAATGTTCCAGATTGTGGAGCCCTTAGGGTAGGGTCTCCCCCAACATCCAAGCTGCGCTAAGGGCGTTCCCCCTCCCCCCTCCCCTCCCCGTCCTACAACTTTGAGCCGGGCCCTCTCCTGTCATCCTGATTCCCAACTGGCCAGTGATGTCAGCGGCAGTATCGCCATTGTAACGCTACTTGGACGGAGGCGGTGTCAACACATACGTACCCCTCCCGCTGCCCCGCCCCGCTCCCCGTCCAGTCCCTACTTCCCCAGACTGTGCGGCCCAGCGAGCCCCAGAAGAGTCTGGAGAGTTCTCGGGAGGGGCGATCCCTGGACGCTGATTGGTCCCAGGAAGACTGGGGGCAGTACAGGAGGCGAAGCTCCCGGAATATTCCCGACCTTGCAGCCTCACCGAGCGCGGTGATTGGCTGAGGAGACAAAAGGCGGGGCTCCATGGAGAATTATAAAAGCAGAGGAACACAAGCCATAAAGAAAGGGTCTCCTGAGAAGAAAGTAAAGTGGCGGTACTCGCTTACCCCGGACCGTGATTCCTGTACACTTACACCCTCCAAAAGGGACTTTTGTGGCTCCAGCGGCTCCAGACTCCAGTTTTCCGAAGACAGCGCTCCTCCTCGCGTCTTCCATTCGCGGTTACAGACCTGAACGTAAGCGCAGAGCGACAGCAACAGTCCGACATGGCGAAAAGCACGGCCATCGGCATCGACCTGGGCACCACCTACTCCTGCGTGGGGGTGTTCCAGCACGGCAAGGTAGAGATCATCGCCAACGATCAAGGTAACCGCACCACCCCCAGTTACGTGGCCTTCACCGACACCGAGCGGCTCATCGGGGATGCGGCCAAGAACCAGGTGGCGCTCAACCCGCAGAACACGGTGTTCGACGCGAAGCGGCTGATCGGCCGCAAGTTCGGTGACCCGGTGGTGCAGTCGGACATGAAGCACTGGCCCTTCCGGGTGATCAACGACGGCGAAAAGCCCAAGGTGCAGGTGAGCTACAAGGGGGAGACCAAGGCGTTCTACCCCGAGGAGATCTCGTCCATGGTGTTGACCAAGATGAAGGAGATCGCCGAGGCCTACCTGGGCTACCCGGTGACGAACGCGGTGATCACCGTGCCGGCCTACTTCAACGACTCGCAGCGCCAGGCCACCAAGGATGCGGGGGTGATCGCGGGGCTGAACGTGCTGAGGATCATCAACGAGCCCACGGCGGCCGCCATCGCCTACGGGCTGGACCGGACGGGCAAGGGGGAGCGCAACGTCCTCATCTTTGACCTGGGCGGGGGCACTTTCGACGTGTCCATCCTGACGATCGACGACGGCATCTTCGAGGTGAAAGCCACGGCCGGGGACACCCACCTGGGTGGGGAGGACTTTGACAACAGGCTGGTGAACCACTTCGTGGAGGAGTTCAAGAGGAAGCACAAGAAGGACATCAGCCAGAACAAGCGGGCCGTGAGGCGGCTGCGCACTGCCTGCGAGAGGGCCAAGAGGACCCTGTCGTCCAGCACCCAAGCCAGCCTGGAGATCGACTCCCTGTTCGAGGGCATCGACTTCTACACTTCCATCACCAGGGCGCGCTTCGAGGAGCTGTGCTCCGACCTCTTCCGCAGCACCCTGGAGCCGGTGGAGAAGGCTCTGCGTGACGCCAAGCTGGACAAGGCGCAGATCCACGACCTGGTCCTGGTGGGAGGCTCCACGCGCATCCCCAAGGTGCAGAAGCTGCTGCAGGATTTCTTCAACGGGCGCGACCTCAATAAGAGCATCAATCCTGACGAGGCGGTGGCCTATGGGGCAGCAGTGCAGGCAGCCATCCTGATGGGAGACAAGTCTGAGAACGTGCAGGACCTGCTGCTGCTGGACGTGGCTCCCCTGTCGCTGGGGCTGGAGACGGCTGGGGGCGTGATGACTGCCCTGATCAAGCGCAACTCCACCATCCCCACCAAGCAGACGCAGATCTTCACCACCTACTCCGACAACCAGCCCGGGGTGCTGATCCAGGTGTACGAGGGTGAGAGAGCCATGACACGCGACAACAACCTGCTGGGTCGATTCGAGCTGAGCGGCATCCCTCCGGCCCCCAGGGGCGTGCCCCAGATCGAGGTGACTTTTGACATCGACGCCAATGGCATCCTCAACGTCACGGCCACTGACAAGAGCACGGGCAAGGCCAACAAGATCACCATCACCAACGACAAGGGCCGCCTGAGCAAGGAGGAGATTGAGCGCATGGTGCAGGAGGCAGAGAAGTACAAAGCCGAGGACGAGGTGCAGCGGGAGAGGGTGTCTGCCAAGAATGCTCTGGAGTCCTATGCCTTCAACATGAAGAGCGCTGTGGAGGATGAGGGGCTCAAGGGCAAGATCAGCGAGAGTGACAAGAAAAAGGTGCTGGACAAGTGCCAGGAGGTGATCTCCTGGCTGGATGCCAACACCCTGGCCGAGAAGGATGAGTTTGAGCACAAGAGGAAGGAGCTGGAGCAGGTGTGTAACCCCATCATTAGTGGACTGTACCAGGGAGCAGGTGGCTCTGGGGCTGGTGGCTTTGGGGCTCAGGCTCCCCAAGGGAGCTCTGCGTCTGGCCCCACCATTGAGGAGGTGGATTAGGGACTCTTATCTCATTTGTCCATGTACAGCTTTGAGACAGTTGGGACTAAAGGGTTTGTACTACATTGTATTTCCTTCTCCGTCAGTTCTCAGCTTCATATATTTGTTGAAAAGTTAAATTGCATTTGTTTTTATAAAGTGCTTTTGTCCAGTTTCTAAATGTGTAAAAGTGAATTTATACTGCTACTTTTTGTTTGTTTGTTATACTCATTCTCAGGCTGTTTAAGTTTTGTTCGTTTAAATTGCTTACTTCAAAGTAAAAAAAAAAAAAAACCTTAAACGTGTTGTGTGTTTGTGTTTTTACTTCTAGTTAAAAAAGGGTCTGTATAGGTTGTCTTTCTTAGTGTCTGAAACTGAAAGGCAAGAATTTGGGAAAATATGGTTATATTGTATTGTGAGCCGTTTGTGTTAGGCAAATGGTATCCTTAGGAAAGTAAAAATAACTTAATTCTGAGTGGGTTGGGACTATGGGCCGAGAGAAAGTTGAAGATTTGTGGCCAGGTGACCTCAAAGTGAGCAAGAGGGCCTACCTGAGTAACAGTGGTGAAGGGTGAGTTGGAGAATTTCTGGAGAAGGAGGAAAGGAGAAAGTTAATGGAAGGGCCATGGCTACTCATTCTTGTTAAGTGCACCTGATATACAGAGATAAAAACCCACTGTCATCAAGTCAATTCCTACTCATAGAGACCCCCAGTGGGGTTCCAAGGCTGTAAATCTTTATGGAAGTAGATTGCCTCATCTTCCTCCAAAGGAGCAGCTGGTGGGTTTGAACCACTGATCTTGTGGTTACTAGCCAAATGCCTTACCAACTATAACACTAGATCCCTGATAGTTCATCTGAATTCAACTTTAAATTAAAAAAAAAAAAAAAAAACACCACTGACATGAAGTCAGTTCTGACAACCCTAGAGAACAGAGCAGAACTGCTACCCTATAGGGTTCCAGAGGCTGTAAATTTTTACAGAAGCAGACTGGGGAGCAGCTAGTAGGTTCAAACTGTCAACTTACCGGTTAGCAGCAGAATGCTTTAAGCACTGTGCCACCAGAGCTTGTTAAAGGAGAATCCTAAATTGGCAGTGAGATGTGTATTTAAGCATTAGCTTGTTGAGTTCCCTAGTTTTCATCTTTTAAAATTGAGGAGTTTGGTCTGAGGCCTCAGGCTAACGTTACTTATGAAAGGATGCTGAAATAGAAATGCCACACCCTAGCAGTGGTCACCTACATTTTAAGTACTCCAGAAAGCACTTCAGAGTTGTGAGGGTGGGTCCACAACAGCAGAAGGGACCCAGCATTTGAGTCTCTCTTACACCAGACATTGTAGTAGGGCCTCTTATGTGTGTGACTTTAATCCTTATACCCACCACACGGAGTCAATATTCTTTCACTGGTGAACATATGGGGAGACTTAAAAGTTACATAACTAAAGCTAGTTAAAGGTTTTATGAAAAATCATCCAGGGCTGCTTGGGTGTTTTCCTATACTGCCCCATGTCCACAGGACTTTTGTTTCTACATTACATGTCTGATTCTGGGCTATATTTTTATGCTAGGTTTGCTTTTACTTTTGATAAACCTAAACAATTATGCCAAATAAACAATAGAATTGTTTATAAAAGTTGAGTTTTTGTTGATTTAGAAGAGAGAGGGAGAAAAACTTGCTTTTCTGAGTAAGGGAGATCTAGATACAGGCTTCCCTCCCCATGTACTTACTTCCTTGTGAGGTTCTTCATGCTCTAGTTTGACTGTTAGCATCTTAGAAGTAACCTACAGCCTGTTTGTTGGAAAGGTCTTCCACAATCTTCAGGGCTTGGGGAGTGAGTCCCCTTTAAAAATGTGTCTTGGAGATAATAGAAACGTTTTGGAACAAGATAGAGGTGATTGTTGCACATTTAGATGCCACTAAATTGTACACTTTAAAATGGTTAATTTTATGTTATGTGAATTTCACTTAAAAGTGGTGAGACCCAAGACCGTGACCCTTAGTAACCCTTGGGACCTGGAATTGAACTCACTCCCCTGACGTACAGCCAGACAACAGACAAGCCTGTAAGGTGAACATTTACACCAAGTAGATCCACTCATTAGAACAATCAACCGTGGGAGATCAGAAAGGCAGTGTTGGCACAGGGAAATAGCCCAGAGGACAGGAATGCATAGGAAAGAAGGACACAAGGAAAGGGTAACCACTGCAGGAAGTGGGAAGAGAGCTGTTACATTATGGAGATTGCAATCAATGTCATGAAACAATATGTATACGAACTGTTGTATGGAAAATGAAATTGCTCTGAAATTTTCACCCAAATCACACACACACACACAAAGTTAAAATATTGTATTAACATTTCATAAAAGCTCTTTATAAGCTTATGTGTACCTGTACCTGACAGCCCATCAAACTTTTCACTAATACTTGGCTTTTGAAGAAACTCCAGTATTATGGGGGACCTCTGGTAGTGTTAAGGCCTAAGGCACTTGACTGCTAACCAGAAGGCTGGTGGTTCAAACCCACCAGCCACTCCTCGGAAGGAAGGTTGGGCAATCTACTTCCGTAGTTATACTGCCTCAGCACCGAAGGAGGGGTCACTACGACTCGATGACACATAACAACAGCAACAACCAGTGTTATGGACATGGCACATACAGGTAGACTTTGCCTTGGAAACTCAGAAGTTGAAAAAAAATCTTGAGATATTTAGGCTTCTAGGCCATCCTATAAAGGCACATTTAACACTCAGGGTAGGAGAATGGTAGCATTGTGGTCTCTGGCCACAATGTAAACCCATCTTCATGGCAATTTGCTTTTGTTGTAGGTCCTCCTCTTAACCTTAGAGCTGCTGTTAACATTTGTGACTGTAATCTGCAGCAGTGACTCTTTATTCAAGCCAGTGGTGAGGGATGGGAGGGGGAAGGGTGGTTGCAAGAGGGTGAAGACTGAGAAGGACCTACCACACACCTCAAGAGTTAGGAAATCTCTAGAAGTAAACTTTAATAGAGAAAAGAAAGTTCCCAGAAGTAGATCAGTGAAGGCTATTGTGTAATGTTTTATTAAGAAATCAATACAAGTTACTGCCTGCATGCTTGGCACCGCCCTCCCCCCCACACATACACACACACACACATACACACACACAGTACTTAGACGATGATTACTTTTTAACTTCAAGATCCGGCTGAGGGATTTATAGAATTGACAGGAAAATACAGTGCCATCCCTGGAAGAAGTGGTGTTTTGGATAGCAGAAATAACTTTTTTTTGGGGGGGGGTGGCAAAAGCAGAGGGACGATGTAGAAAAATAACTTTCCTGTCTTCTTGGGCCAGATCTTGGCAGGCAGGTGGCAGGCAGGCAGCTGTGGTAATAAGACTGCTTTTATACAGTTTTTGAACCAGGGATATTGCTTTATTTGTACCATATACTTAGTTATCCCTGGGTTTAGCAAGGGTTCTCTCATCTTCAAAAGATAAAAATAACAAAACAACCAAAATTTAACCAATTTGTAAATGTGAGAGAAGTGGGCAAGAACATGGGCTTTGGGCTAAAAGAGAAGATGAGGTTACATAGCGAAGAACCAATGTTGGGAGATTCTTGAGGGAGCAGTCCTTATGGTAAGAATAAGAAACGGTGACTGCCATCATACCTTACCCTAACAGATTGCCCTAACTCCTCTAGAGTCCCCCAAGGTATCTGGTGCAGTCCCGAGGGAAGGAGCGACCCCAGCAGTGCTTCGCTCACTCCTAGCCATCACTCATTAAAAGTGCGTTTAAGCTTAACATGAGGAACAGACGTTTAGCGGTCCGGCAGCGCAACGAATTCAGGACGCTGAGGTCAACCAGCCCCCTCACCGCCGGCGCTGGCTCGTTGGAAGAGGGAGTAGAATGAGGGGTAAAAGGCCCACAGTTTGAAAAGGAGGAGTAGTTCATAGATCGAGATGACACTCGAAGGTCTGCGACCTTTCTAACCTTCCGAAGTCCCCACGAGGCCCCAGGGCCTAGAGAACCCAGCAATGTCTATCCCCCCCTCCCCATTTGCCGCTAGTCGCAACCAAGCCCAAGCGCTTGCTTCCCTCAGGCTGTAGGACCTTCTTTTTCCCTTGTGGCCCCTAATCCCTCTTTGTTGTGTAAGAGTTACAAAAGTCTCAGTTTTTCTGCCTACATAAATCAGCTAGCGTGAGAGAAACTCGAAAGGTTTTTCCTTTTTTGTACTTTAACCCCGTTTGAAATAACAATGGGAAAACGCAGGCATCACGCCAGGCAGCTTCTTGGCCAGC